GAATTCTCGTCACCGCAAAACTTTCCCTACTGCTCAACGCGTCGCGTCGCTCCTTAAGGGCGGGTTTCTCACAGCGTTGTAGGAGCCTTCGAACCCATCCCATCGAATGCTGATTCCCAGGATCATGCCGGTCCTCAAACTGTAGCTGCATAGTATGGTAGGTTCTTAGTACATGGGTTGAACGCATTCGTTCTGAATCATGACCGTGTATACAACGTTAAATGCGACCATTGCACAAAGAGCGAGGCCAAAGCTTTGCTTCACAAGGCTCGGGTACCGCCTCCCGCATAATGTCAAACGCGTCTGTGAGAGATGTCGGCACGAGATGATGCGAAGGACGCGATGACGAGTATACACACGTGGCGACGAGATCAATACGTTGAATCCAGCGCGCCCCACTATGCGCCAAAAGTGTAGGGATAGCAAAGCCGTGTAGGGATAGCAAAGCCCGTGCTGTGCAGCATTCTCATGAACGAGTGTGAGAACGAATGCAAGTGAGCGCACCAGATGACCAAAGCTAGCAGCATTAGGGAGGTGGGTGCCATGCCTTGTGTCGTGATCTGACCAGAAGATGCTCAACCTCTCCCATCGAGCGTGGAAGGAAGCTTGAAGCGGTTGACATGCCCGTTAGCGTCGATGGTACTGAATGTTGCGCTGATTCCAGTCACCGTGAAGGATGATGGGAAAGAGATGCTGTCCGGATAACGAGCATCCACAGACGAACGAGCGCGGCGTGGACACGGACGGATATGGTTGAAAGTAGACGGCATACCCTGATGCACTGCTGCTCGTGTATCACCAAGAGATCGAACGCGCTTTGGAAGGCGTTTGTGAGGATGCAGAAGAGTAAGCTGGTCGTACGATTGTAAGACACACTAGTGTTTCTCAATAGATCTAGAAGACATCACAAATCAGATGTGTAAGATAGATGAGAGGAGTCACCATGTGCAAGCTTTACAAGGTCGACGAAATGATCAAACCTTCGAGAAAAGATCGACATGTCGCCTGCACATGTGTCATGGAGCCGATCAGTCTATAGGTATACCGGCGTATGAGGTTGTGACATACCACGGACCTGATCCGGGAGAAGGGATGCATCAAACAAAGTCTGATCTGCCTACGGACCGACTCGAGTGTACGTCTGAGGCTAGTAACTCTTCAACTGCGCAAGGCGGCGGTTGGCGAGCATAGCACCGTAGACCAAACCGCCACTGGTAGCGTGGCAACGTAGTCGTGGTCGAACGTTGAACACCTCCATATCGCTAGTCAGCGTTTGGCGCTGGCTATGCTACCGACGGGTGGCAAATTTCCCCGGACGCGCGGAAGTTCGAAGCTGAACTTCGGTCTCAAAGCTAGGGCTGACAATGCGTTTCACGGGGCACGTAAGGAGTGTTCGAAAGTCGGTGGGTGTCGGGCGTGGAGGACATTCGAAGGTTATCTTGACGAAAAGGGCCTGGGCGGTGGTGGTACACGGGCCCGACCCTCGTATAAGGCGACAGCAACGCCCAAGAACCAACCAGTGCAAGGTGCATAGGACTACACGTCGTCAATGTCTTGCGACGCCTAGCATATGGCAACCGCCGCGGTAGAGCCCAACTTGTACCCCATTTGCGTGTGCAGACCACGAACGAACTCGAGTGCACTAGTGAAGTTGAAGTCGGGTGCTGATGCAGATGCCCTAGCACTGGAGAAGGCTTCCTGCGACGACAACCTCAGCGAACAGAGCACGCTTCTACGCGCTATGAGCACGTCGGACTGAGAAGTGCGAGTGGAAGGTGGGGAAAGACGAATTCACGTACCCTCCCGCCATACCATGGATGAAGTTGCTCCTGACCATGTTGCTGAGGACGGGAAACTCCAAAGATAACCATAATAGCCATGATAACGTCGCGCATGTGGGGGGACCGTTGGCCGCGTGAGGGAAGCGAAGGTAGGGGTCTCGCTGACCGGGAGGTCAGAGGGATGTGAGTCGCCTGCAATGCGAATTCAGTAGCTGTCGCTGCGTCAGAAATCATGAACCACGCACCTTCGTCAATGTAGGCACGCTCACCTCAGAATGCCTTGTGCATGCGCTGGAAGATGATCCCTTGATAGTTAACATAATCCTCGTCTTCGTGCCCTTTTGAGTTGCGCAAAATGCTCTGCCAGAGCGATGCAGAGTAAGATATGGCTGACGAATATAAAGACATGTAGCGCCATTTGGTAGTAACGGGAAATGCGATTTATGTGTGCTGATCGCTGACGATAATCTGTTCACGGAACTACTAAGCGACCCATAGATTCGACTAGCGGTAAGCGACGACTAACCTCGTGTATCTCTTCCATCATTGCGCTTGTTATCGGAAAAATCTTGTCTGCTGCAGGATACCGGTGATTGAGCTTTAGCATGGTTGAGGTAAACTGAGTAGGACTATTTACATCACGATGCTCAGTGGCAGCGATGATGAGCGCTGGGAAATCGATAGAAGGCGGAGAGGTGGTATTACTACATATCTCCTGGCACATGAAGATGGCATGGTCTCGGGTCAGGACCATAGCATGAGACTGAACTTGAGCCATGGTGATGGTGGCGGTTCAGGGAAGGTCTCTTGGCCGAGATCCGACATTCGAGCGCGTGACGGAACACTGTGACCAAACGCGTCGCTCTTACCTTGGGCAGCCCCTATGTAACGCAGAACATACTTCCTGTGCTCCCCTATCACGCATTCGAAAGGCAATGCGCCATTCTCCGGGTGAAAATGCCTAAGCAGTAGGGACCACATTGGGTTGACTTCCATCCGCCATCCGAGTATGGACGTCGGGCGCCCGAGCATCACACGCCACAGCGACACCCGGCTTCCATAGAAGTGAGGCAGTTCAGCAAGAATACGAGCCGCGACAGATCGACTCGCTGCTCTCGCGTAGCGCAACTGTTAAGCTAGCGCTTGAGCACAATACCGCAAGTTCTCGCTTCATCACAAGGTGAGGTCATCGCTGAGCATCACCGAAACAACTCGTCCTGTGTCAGACTAGGAAGGTTTGACAGCGCACACAGGCCCTAAAGGAATCAATGATTTTACTGACGTATGTATAGTCTTTGAAGTACGTTTAAGTATCTTCCTCCGCTGCGCATTTAGAGCGCAACGTCTGCTATACCTAGGGTCGCGAAGTCTGTCGTGGAGGGCGATGCCGCCTATGAGCGATGTAACGATGATGCCCTGCGACGATGCTACGAGTTAGTTCAGCATGGACTTCATGAAGTCAGCGCCAGCACCTTTCTTCATTACTGTATCTATCAGCGCACAACTTTAACGGTTCTATCGTGAATCCAGCAGAGCAGCGCTAACTGGCGAGCGATGAATAGGGAGTTCGGTCCAAAGACGAAAGTGAAGATGACGCACTGATGGGATCCCAGTCCTTTCATGCCCATCCCACCACCTCACTGAAAGTCGAAATTGACCTCAGCACCTCGAAGCTACAACGAGGTTTCCTGCGCGGGCGTGCGCCTTTCAGGTGGCAGGACGGCCGTCGGAGCGATGGGCGAGCGTTCACGACGCGGCTCGGATGCGTAACCCAATCTGGCATGGTAGAATCACACTTAGTGGAACACCGAGGCTTCTGGAATCATAGCATGTCCTCGAAGCGGGCAGAATTCCGACGAAGCGATAAAGCAGAACGTATGCATCTCAACATGGCGCCAACGGAGGACAGAAAGGAAACAGGATGATATCACCAGTGCGACAAGCGACTACGCGTACGTCGCATGATAGAGCAACCTGGGCATGAGTTTAATCCGCTCAGCATCAATGGGGTGTCATGTGAAACGAAGTCGCCACCGCCGCCAGTCATGGCGGCACGGAAGAAGGTGCGAAGGTTGAACGAGTCCAAAGCTGTCCAAAGATCGATCAAGTCCCCACGTGCCATGGCCAGACGCGGCTAGGTTCTCCTCCTGCCAATGCAAGCGAACCTTGCCTCCTGCCACATCGTCATCTTACTCTTGTTCCATGCGCATGGCTGACCACTCGATGTCACAATCTAGGAATCACATTGAGGCGTTTGATCGTCTATCGTCTGGTGGTCGCGGTGCTTCAGGGTCAAATTCTGGCGCGTCGATGGATATGCGACTCATGACGAGGGAAAGCAAGGTGCGTATGACGCGATTGAATTATGTATACAGATAATGACGTGTATCTGTTGTTAGCTAAAGTCCGTGAGTACTGGTACTACTAGTGTAGGCGGGTACTTCACATCGGATATAATGATCAACATGTCCTTATGCGCATATACGTATAGGTTCAAGCCAGGGTACGGGAACCCTCAAGCCCGCGTGTACTACTGCAGCGGGTATGCCCTCGGTTTTTAAATCTTGGCAAAGGAAGTTTATATTCGCATAGGCGACTACACAGTCGGCAACCTCCAGACGTTCTCGCCCGGCTTCAGCAAGCCTAAGCTCTCGCAGCCTCCAAGGGCACATTTGCTGCCCCAATCTAGCTCCGAGGTCCAAAAAACACGCATGCCAACCTCTAGCGCGCTCCGCGCATTGCCGTCGATTCCGCATTTCACGTGCGCGTCCGCCGCTCGCTCTGTATACTTCGAGAGCGGTGCATAATAACGGGCGGGGTCATCGACGTTTCTCCCTCTGGCTCCGAATCATCCATGCGTGCTCCTACAAGTCCTACAGCTTGTAAACGTCCGCCAGGAGAGGTGCCACTCGTACTTCCAGCCGCTGGGATCAAGCATTCGAAAAGGAGTCCTAGGCCAAGGGAATTTGGGTCGCCAGGTGGGGAGGCGGAAAGGGATAACCGCACGCTGTTATGTGTGGGCGGAGGAGGCGAAAGGGAAACAAAGGCGGAAATGCTGAGCTCGAGTACGGGCGGCCCACGGACGCTCGTGCAGGTCGAGAATGACTTGGAGGATTTGCGTTCGGTGAGCTTGGCTCTACATACTGCGCCCGGAATCCAAATGTTTACATGTGGATGCAGAAGACGGTTGTAGAGCTACGGCGTCTGGCGATCTATAACATGGAGACCCTTGGCCAACTGGAGAAGGATCGGAAAGCGTTCGACTTCAAGGTCAACGCAGAGCAGGACATTTACCTTTTGGATGTCTTTAGGTATGCACGGACTCTCTGAACAACCATCGCCTGCTGATATGTTCCTACATTAGACGTCTCGCAGAATCGCGCGGCCAAGCCATCAATAAAGCCTTATTAGCGCACCCGAGGACCACGCGCGAAGGATTGCTAGGCGCGCAACTTCTGGATGGCGACTTCGGCATACCGCCCCTGCCTCCGCTTCCCTCACCATGCCAGGAGAAGTCGTTGCACATCTCGTTTGAATATGGTGGTGCCTTCAATGCGAACAATCGACTCGACTTCCTCGAACTCACGCGACTAAAGCGATGAAGATGGATTTCGCTCAGCCCCTGGCAACCAACTCAAAAAGTGTTGGAGGCCTCCTCGCTCTCTGCATCACCCGGCGTCTGCTACCCTGTTACGCTCAAGCGTCGATTCTCCCCAGGCATCAAATGTTAAGGAAAAGCTCGAGCTCGGATGGAAATGGCGAGACCCAGGCCGTACGCGTAGATGTCGTGGGCGGCTGTGAGTTTAGCACTTATCTCAGCCCTGCGTGCAAGAAATGTGAGGTGTCACGCTAGGATAGTTGACGAGACGACTGTTATGCCAAGCCAGTGGGAGGATGAGTTTCCTCACGATGCCTCTTCGACCCCTGCCGAGCCTGAAGTTCTTTGCAGGGGGTATCGCGACAGCGGTAGCGCAGCGGCAAAGGATGCTTAAGTGCCCGCCTCGCTGGGATGATCATTCCTTCGCGTGAACGCATATACGGGCTTGTGCCAAAGTTGAATTCAACGTCGCGCGTGTTCAGCCTCGCGCCACATGGGCCACGTTGTCACACAACGGCTTGAGAACTGCTCCGCGAGGGCATTGACCATCTCTCTCTCGCTGCCATTTGCTCTACGAGTGATTGGCCGATTGAGCTTGCGGTGCTATCGCCACGTGTGGTAGTTCCCGATCTGAATATACCCCGATTTCCGTTCAGGCGATGGCCTCTGAGTTGCCCGAGGGTCATTGTCCTTTATGAGCACTGACAGCTCCGTCATCGTGCCTAGCGCTTAGCCCATGCCCATGCCTCCGCGCACGAGTTCAAGCGTTGAAAGGCGGATCTGGGTGTGCGTTGGCACCATAGCGCGCGGTTGTGTACCTGTTACACTGGTAGTTACCGGTTTCACAGATGCGTCTCGTGTATCATGCTCTTGGGGAGATCGAGTGATGCAGGTGTACGACTCCCTCTTCCAGGCCCCCGAGCCCGCCAATTCGTGAGCGACAACGGCATCGCATGCCGATTTGCGCTTAAATGGGGCCCGTGGTGGCCTGGCTTGGCACCGCTTGTTGAATCATTATGATTCTACCTGGTGAATGGTGGGGTAGCGCCAACGTTCTAGTCAGTTGGTCGTCCACTGTGGACCGCGATGTCCTATTGGCCACGTTGGGTGCAACTCGTGCCCCTTATTCTGACATGAGGCATGCAAACATCAGCTCAGGAGAGAGGATACTCTATCTTGGGCGGTAGTTCTGAACACGGTTTAGCTCAACGGCAATGATCCTCAGAGCCACCGGGACGACATGTGGCGCATTCTTCTACATACTGTCGCCCGGCGAAGTTCAAACTCTACCCGCCCTGTGAAACCTCTCGGGCTTTGAGAGCAATGCCCAGTCTCACTTGAGTTAGCCTTTTCCTCAGTGACTACCAGCTCTGAGGTGCTTCGCGGAATGCGGTTTGTTCAGATGGACTCATGGTATAACCAGTGATGGACTAGGCGGTTGGCCATCTTGTTTGTAGCTTACTCTGGTTATGATCTATCTCATTTTCACTCGTTCCCATCATTCATATCCAAGCTTCATTGAGCACAAACTAGCCGCAGCAGGTCGGCCCACTGGAGAGCAACATTCATGATCACGCAACCATACTCAGTTGGTTGAAAGGTTATTTGTGGTCTGCTCTTGCTCTCTCAGAGACTGAGAAGCACAGCCTCGGTGGCAGTTGCCACAAACCACCTAGGCTACTGTACTATGATACTGCCGTTCTGAGGCTGTCTAAGGCTAGTATCACCTCGTTCGTCGGAACAAGTTCGAGCACTTCCTCCACAAGGTCAAACGTTTGCGACCCTTGCACTCCATCTAGCTCAACTCTGCATCTTACTTCCGGCTCGTTCTTATTGTAACTGTTTATGCCGCAAAATGTTGCCAGGTCGTGTGAGTCATTGTCATCTGGCCTGCAAAAATGATACCAATCAACTTGCACTTGAAATATAGGCTCTTGTGTCATATAGTAGGGGAGAGAAATCAATATTCTGTACTCTATGCAGAGTGTGCACAATCAAAAAGACCAGCGTGGGCACCGGAAGTCCCTGGCCGCGAGGTCGCGGCTGGTGTCCAGACACCAGCCAAGGCAAAGCAGAAGCCGCGCCACCGCGCCTGAACGTCGTCGTTGTACTCCCGTCCGCCACTGGCAGCGAGGTTGACCTGGTGTCCAGCGTCATGATCATGCAACACACATATCACTTGCCGGAAGCCGTCAGCTCAATGACGAGGGCAGCGGGGCGGGGCTTTCAGAAGAACGTCCTTGTCTGCACCGTAACGCGGTCGCCTTTGTGCGCTTCCTCGCGGCTTTGGCGGAGACCTACCGCGATCCTGTGACGGCAATGGTGAATGTGCTTCGCCGCGTGAGGTCGGCGTCCGATTGACAATTGTTTCCTGGACCTGTGGCGCCTCAGCGAAACCTGACGTGTCTTCAGCCGGCCATGAATGGCCCAGGTTCTCCCTCACATCCTCTTCCTCAAACGGGCGTCGCTCGTGTCCACGACGGACTTTGTTGGGTTTGTGCCGCCTGCATGCGCTAAATGACGTGCGGTGTCCTCATGCCGGTATAAGCGCACACGAGCTCTTCCATCCACGACGCCGCCATGCCCAACACAATCTTCCTCCCGTTTTTTCTGCACTTCCGTCCCAACACAGCACCGCAGACGCCGCCACTGTCGATAACCACCACAACTTCGGGGGCGATAACACATACACCCTAACCAAGGGGCACCAGCTGTTCCAGGCCGTATTGCACTCCTATCGGCGTACCCCAAGAGACTGGAAGAATACACCAAAGCGGAGGCCCTGTCGGCATCGGACACCTCGGGACGAGTTACAGCTCTGTGTCTAGAGCCCGTTGCCAGCTAGCTACAATGCGCCGCGGCGGACTCATTCCCCGGCTTGTCTGCAATGGCGTAGCGAGTCCTATGCGGAATCGACCAATCCCTGGTGACCAAACGAAAACATTGACCGAACATTGGGAAGAGGATACCTAGCACAGACATGTGGTCCGTTAGACATCAGCACATCTAGGGCTTCTTGAGCCTGTGACTCCCACGTGGCACGTCACTGCGGACATCACGGCCGTAACTCCGGCCTTAAAAGGCGGGTGTTACCGTGACTGCGTGACTTTAAAGGCCGCGTCCGCCTCTGATGGATTCGCTCAGAAACCGTCATAGCAAACTTGGTGTCTCGCTTTACGTTCGCCCCTTCTGGCCAGACGATATCGTGGGTGGACGCCGTCGTGACTTCTCCCACTGTCGAACGTGGCGGAAGACCCATGCTGCCGCTTCGCGTTTCACCCGTCGACTACAAGGAAGTGTGACGGCGTTCGTTGAGTAGTAGACTCTTACACCTGTATCAATATGAATGTCATGTCTAGGCCGTGTCTCTACAAACGTGCCATTGAGCGCGTCGCAAGAATGGCCCATTGGTACGGCGATAGATGATGATGGAATATGTATCTACTCATGTCTTCGGTAGGGGGCGTTTGAACCAATGCACGTCGACGGACTGGCGATAACCCTCAATGTCATCGCGAGTTACATAATTGGCACAGGGAGAGCATCCGATGTCGCAAGAGGCTTGCTGACACGGCTGCTGCCGGCTGCTCCAAACACGATCCTTCTTTGATTATCATGTACAACTGAGCCAAAGACACCCCCGAACCCACCCATTGTAGGCAATGATGAATCTCTCGTGGCCCAGTCCTTGCCGCGACTCGGAGTCGCTCGGGTTCTCATGTTATGAATCAGTCTAATTCAACGTCGGCCCCTTCTCTCTAAACTGGAGCTCCTCCGCTTCAAACCTGCTCCATAGAGTTCTCACAGCTGGCCTCTATTCGTGAGCATACCATGCGGCTTAACAGTGATGCTACCCTTCCGAAGGATTCTGTGCATCGGTATTAGTTTAGCGGCGCTCCGATTCCGACCCGCCTGCTCACAACAAAACATCTCCCTGGTTCAAACACCGTGCGTGTTACTCGTTTTGTCATACACCCGCTGCGCTTTAATAGTAGCGCTTTCTCATGATCAAGTGCCTACTACGATCTCGGATGCTCCAGCGTGCAGTGATCTTGACGGGCGCTGATAACTGACCTGGTGGCCCCGGTTAATGTAGTTGAGTCGACGGGAGCACGCTCTTCTCCCTGTATTCCTGAAGGCATTCTGCCCCCTCATCCTCATGCATAAATGAGTGTAGACGCCTCGCAGCAGCTCAATGCGTTCAGTGCTCACATCTTAGCTCCACAGATAATGATGAGCGATTAAATCATTGTTGTGCGAGTCGTCAGAACCACGGCAAACACTCTGATACCTCGGATGGCTATACCTCCGATCTATGTGTCTCCGCAACCATGATAAGGGGCCCGCGCCTCTAAAGGCCATTAACCTTCATCATGAATGGGATGGCGTACTCGATGAGTACCAGATATCCCACGTATGATACGTACCAGCCGCTTGCTCATACGTTGCCTACTCAGCTGATACAGTACAGCGCCTTCGTTGGGGTTCCCTGTCCTAGAAATCTAGCTGTCGATCCCGTTAAATACACATCTTCTTCACGTCTTTCACCCCAGCTACAATGGCGCCTACTTGCATGCAAGACTACATCCAGTTGACCCGTCTTCACAAATTTCCCTTGGGTAGCGCAGTCATATTTTGGCCCGCCGGTAAGATACGCGCGCATCGCCATATGCATGACACTGAGTGGAACACGCCGCCAGCCTATGGGGTCGCCATGGCCGCATATGCCTTTGATATATCGGCTGGTGCACTCGTCCGGCAGACCGCCAGCTTCGCAGTAGGGTGTACTCTGCTGCATAGCACCTTCTGTGTCCTCAACGACATCTTTGATCGCGATCTCGACGGCCTCGTCGGCGAGTGTTCTTACACTATCGGACTTATGACCTTGCATTGACGGGCACACGAACGTTAGAACGTACGAAGACACGTCCCATAGTCTCAGGCGCCGTGAGCGTACCTGGCGCATACGCCCTCTTCTTTACCTTCCTGCTCGCTACAGTAGCCCCCCTTTTCTTCTCCAACAAGCAGGCGTAAGCCACTGGATACTGCAATTCGCCGATGTACTCACGTCTTCATCTCTAGGATTATCATCGGTCTTCTGTCCGTTCCGCTTCACGTACTGTACCCACTGTCGAAGCGATGGACCTGGTGGCCACAGGCATGGCTTGGTACGCACCCCAAACCTTCACTCTGCATCACAGCGTCGTGAACTCAATCGTATCGCGAAGGCATGTCAAACGCGTGGAGCTTCTTCGTAGGATGGTTCGCCATTGCCGCGAATCGAAGCACCCGCGAGCAAGTTCTTGCCGTCTTCTCAGCCTATGCTGCCATGATCTGGTAAGTTATATCACTTCATATACACACGAAGGGTCTGGCAACTGACCATGATCCGTCGCTCAGCTGGACGATCTACTTTGACACGGTCTACGCGACGCAGGATCGCGAAGACGACGCCCGTGTCGGCGTCAAATCGACGGCACGCTTGTTTGGCGCCTGGCTGTGGGAGATTACTGCATGCTTCGCTCTCGCTGCCGTGGCTCTGCTCGTATACGCCGGATACCTCGCTGATCATGGGGTGGCATACTACGCAGTCGCATGCGGCGGCGCCCTGGCGCACTTTATCTGGCAACTCACTTCATGGGACATCGATAGTGAGAAGAGTAGCGGAAAGATATTCAAGGTGCGCGAGTCACGCTCTAGGGCGTCCTATCGTGCCCATAGACTGACTTCATCGTCAGTCCAACGGCGAGCTCGGCTTGATTATCTTCATTGGTGTTGTAGCGGACTACGCCTTGAAAGGAACATCGTTCCCTGCTATGCCAACCCCAGTATGAGCAATCGATCATCCCGGTCAAGATCACAGCCGTTCAATCACCTGTATTTCACCCTGTGACTTCTGCCCGCTGTACAGTATGGTAATCGTATTCACTTCTGGCCTCCGTGTGCACTTGAATAGACATGCTCTTGCGCCCTTCGGGTCCCTGCTGCTGCATACTCACAGTATCGCTCGCGAGTCACCTGTCTCCGAGTGTCAGCCATATAGAACACCAATACGACAGGCGGATTGGGCTTACCGAAGTCTATTACCGGCGTAACCATCGAAGACCGGCGAGTCAGATCTGGAGTGGTGAGAGCTTCAGAAGGTCAGGTGTGGCTCGAGGTACCCGCGATTTCGCTCAGAGCACCGGCCTAGTCACCTCGCACCTAGCGTAATGGCGGGTTCCAGTCAGATCCCCCCAAAGTACACAGATACTAGTGGAAATGATGGAAAGAGTTCGTCATATACATAGCGCACAAATTCTCCGAACGAAGTGTCGTCGCGGTCCGTATCATGCACAAGCCGAGGTCAAGTGACGGGGTGGTTGGGATGGTAGGTATGAACCGACGTGGTGGGCATCAAGGTGATAGAGGGTTACCGGTTATGAGTGAATGAAAGATGGAACAGCTCGGCAGAAAGGACGAAGATGAGACGAGAGTCTATGTAGTGGGCGACGACGCGCGGATTAGAGGCGATGTTAGACAATGGGCGTACAGTGGGTTAGCTGATGGATAGAGACCGAGAGGGGAGCAAGAGTGAGAAACCGTCCGTGAGATGAGATGCATGGCGTAGCGAGCGAGCATAGGCTAGATACGTATCCGAGTCCATAGTGAGGGAGGAGTAGAAAGGGGGTGGGCGGATGTCCGAACTCATCGTCCCCTGCGCTGTTGCTGCTGCTGTTGCCACATCGCAAGCGGCACATCCTCGTCCTCACTTGCCCGCCCTTGTCTGCCCTGACCCGGCGCCACAGCATGCGCGCTCTGCGTTTTCCTCCCTGGACTACTTCTTCCGCCGCTTCCCAGACTCCCAACATGATGGTGCCCGTTCTGCATCGCACCCGCTGGCGCGACCGCACTGGCGCTCACACTTCGACTAGGACTCCTCGCGCCCGCGGCGATACCAGTACCGGCGCCCTTCCCGAGCTCGTATCGATTCTGCGGCGGACTTCTTGAGCGATCGGGACGCTGCTGTTGTTGCTCGAGCGCCTGTCGCGCTTGCTGTGTCTGCTCTTGCCATTGCTGCTGACTCTGGCTATGCGCGAGTGAAGGTCGACCGTTGACACCACCGACACCATGCCCATGTGCAATATGCTCGTACTCTCGGCCAGAGTCTACCGAACCGCGGCCTTTGACAGGTCCAGGACTACCGGACGGGTATACGCGCTCCTGCTCCATCGCACGATGTTGAAGATCGTATTGCGGTCCACGTACAGGCGCTTCGTTCCGTCTAGCACCGCCGGCACCAGCAGGTCCCTTGGTAAGCCCCGCACGACGACGGCTCGCCTCCGGTTCCTCGGCTTGCACCTGCGGCGCTACCTGCTGTTCAGGCGCGGCACTTCCATTGGTCTGTGGCGCTGGCGCCTGCTGAGGTTGTGGCTGAACTGGTTGCTGCTGAGCAGGTTGACCGGCCTGAGGCGTTTGAGCCTGTTGAGCCTGCGTTTGCGCCTTGTTGATGACGCCGAGGTACCAGAACATGAGGTTGGAGATCAAGACCTGCTCGTACAGCGGTCGACGAGGGTTCGCGAGTTTGATATGACTCAAGCGGTAGATCGCACGCTCGACGTGAATGGGGTAGCGAGAGTAGTTGTTCGGCTGTAGTCCGCCGGGTCCAGGGCCGGGACTGGGCGTAGCCGTCGCACGACCCTTGCTCGCGCCTAGTAGAGCTGCCGCGGCCTCGCGCCCTGCATTATGACCAAGCCCAGGAGGCCCATCATCGTGCTTCTTCTTCGACCCGCCGAACAACGAGCCGAAGAAACCCGGATCCTTCTCTTTCTCTTTCTCCTTCTCCTTTTCCCTAACCTCATGCGAATGACTATGCGCATGGCCATGCGACGACGCCGAGCCGCCCGAATGCCTGTCCTTTTCCTTTTCCTTCTTCGATTTCTTGTCGGACGAACCCCACTTGAACAGCCCGCCTTTCTTGTCTTTCTCCTTGCGCCCGCCCTGTTCGGGTCCGGGTGAAGGCGTGTTACGAAGCGCTTCGAGAGAGGCTGTGCGGCCGTGGACGGGAAGCTGCGGTTGTGGAGGTTGTACGAGGGGTGTAGGCTGTACCGAAGGCTGCGGTTGAGGTTGGGGCGTTGAGATCGGAATGGCTGTCGCTGGGACTGGTGTTGCGTTCGAGTCGGGTGACTCTCCGCGAGGAGGCTCGATGATCCCACCGGGCGGTAGCGTGGTCGCACGCTGGGGCGCAGGATGCTGCAGATCAAGCGACAGCGCCGGCGCTGATGTATCAAAGCTGGCAAAGTCGAACAAAGCGCCTGCAGGTTCAGGTTCTGGTGACAGAACGGGCGCAGGAGCAGAAGTCGGTGGAGGCGAAGGCGAGCGGGTGAATGGAAGCTCGACGGGCTGCGAAGGTGACAGCGGGCTAACTACGATGGCGCCCTTGTCGTCATAATCGTCTGCGGCATAAGCGTCGTAGATGAACGTTTCTGCGCTGTAGCTGTCCGGGCGCTCGACGAGCCGAACTTCGTCGTTTGTGGCCCTGCGTGGGCGGGGCTGGACCACTCCGTCGTGTTCGCTGCTGCTTGACAGGTCGCTGGACGAACGCGGCTCGCTACCCTCCACGGAACTTGCCGGCAGAGGTGGCACGTCCGGCGGCATCTCATAATCTGGCGCTGCTCGCGCAGAACCGCGGCGCGTCGCGGTGAAGCGATGGCTTCCCTCGCCTACTTGGCCCGGCTTGCGAATCTTCGTTCGCGCCGCGCGCCGTAGGATCTGACCCTGGCGCGGTATGAAAATCGGCGCATCCGCCTCGTCGCCCTCCTCGGGCTGGCTTTCCATTTTGTCGATCGCTATATTGTATATGTAAATCGCTTGTTGTTGTCATTATAATATGTGTATTGCACACCTGAAGGAGAGACATTCATGCTCAGACTGCGCCTAAGAACACTGCGTAGTGTCGAAGGGTCTGAGGACTGAGACGCCTCCTCTGCCAGCTGGTCGAGCTTCTCGAGGTCCTTGATGGTGAGCTGGGGCCCCGAGGCATAGTAGCTAGTACGGTTTCGTCGCAATGGGACCTCTGGCTCCTTGCCGTCGTCCGAGTCGCGGTCGTTGTTTGGATTGTACTGCCGGCTGAGCATCGAGCGTTTGCGGCCGAGGCCGACCGAGCCGACGCTGCCGGCGCGGGCGAGCTGTCCTTCTGGGGCGCGGGCGTGCTCTTTGAGGAAGGACCTGAACTCGCTGGGGTCGATCTCCGGGTGCATCCGAGCGGGCACCCAGAACAGGTGGAAGGGGTCGTCGGCCGGCGTCTGTGGCTCCTCGACGCTGGACCTGTCCTCGCCGCTGCTCATGCTGCTCCCGTCGTCGCTCGCACCGCCCTGCCACGGCAGATCAGGGTCGATGACCGGCCCGCCCACAGCCGTCGACCGCCGCCGTATATCCCGCAGATTCTCGACCTCCCGCAGGATCTCGTCCGACGACGGCTGCAGCGTCGACCCGTGCATGTGTTGTCGCCCAGACATCGTAGTGGAAGCACGCGAGCTCACGAGTGAAGGAGCAGATCAATGTAGCCGCGCGACTTGGCCCTGGTCCTTCTTCTTCCCGCACCACCACTAGCACGTTCTTCGAACCTCTCCTCGCGCCTTTCCTCTTTCATTGCTTCGCTCTATGTACCGATGAAACAATGTCATTTGTCGTCTAGCAATACTACACCAAACATGTACCTTCATCAGCACCTTTCCGCTGACATATTGCGTCCATATGCTTTTTCCTTCGGAAAGATCCGTCGGTTCCGGCCACGGTTGCGAAAGCAACGCCCACAACAGTACAGCGCCGTCAGCGCCGTCATGACAAGACGGACGTGACTGACAATCACCGAGGCTCCACATCGAGCTCTTCTGTTGCAGCAGGATCGACTTTCCAGTTCGACGTTTCCCGTACTTAGATCTGAGCATGCCCTACATAAAGACTGCGTAGTGCTACTTCGACTTGCTCGCTTGCTCCACCTTGAGACCCTTCAACGCAAGCTTGTACATCCTTGAACTCATGTCGAGCGCCATGATGAGCGGCAGGAACAGGAACGGCAGGTAATTCGCCAAAAGGTTCGCCCGCTGCGCGAACGTCACGGATGCAATCCCTGCGGCTGCCGTAGCGGCGCTGGTCGAGGGTGTGGCGAGCACCAGAGCGACGCAGGCGAGGGTTGTTGTTGCTGTTGACGCGCCGTAGAGTAGGATCGGTACGTAGACCGAGAATGAATCTTCGCAAGTCGTCAGTTCATCCGTGGGTTAGTGATGAATAGAGCGTGAACAGACCTTTCCATAGGCCATAAGCGCCGTAGAAGAAAAGTGGGAGTTGAAAGAGACTGAAAAGGTCGGGTCAGTCGTCTGGATAGGTTCTGGTGCATGCCGGACTTACGCTTCCAGCCACATGAAGCTCTTCAACCAAGCGAACTCGGTAGGACTAGTTTTGACGAGACCCAAGGCACCCTGGAAGAGAAACGCGGTTTAGACGCGTGTAATCGCACCCCTATCGACTTCAAGAACTTACCGCGATGAGGGGATCGTTCGCGAAACCGACGTACCACACCGGAATAGCACGGAACCATGCCGGTGTGTAGGCTGCAGGGTAGATTGACTGGAGATCAAGGAGAACAGTCGCTGGGATGTGAATCTAGATGCGATGTAGTACGGTCAGATCCCATTCAACACAAAAGACCACAGCCCCAAAGCGTTGTTGGTTCCCGAGTCCGCGCACACTTACCAGAAAGTAGCCAACATAGACAGCGTCGAGCCAGCGCGAAGATAGCGGTCTCGGCGATCCAGAAGGAGAAGCGGTAACCATCTTTTAAAGAAGCAGCAGGGCAGTCGAGAGGGGTCTGGCACAGGACACGTATAAGCAAAGCCATTACTTATATAGGGCGCAAACCTCACATTGAGTACGTGACAGTACTTAATCAACACGCCCTTGCCAGCGCGCCATAGTGGTCGGAGCCGAAACTCCGGTGTCGGCAATTCCCGCCTGCGCTGTTCGCGCGCAATTGCCCGTGCGGCTCGCTTTTATCCAAACCACCGTGGCCCGCCTGGTCTTGATAGCACTTCATCACTCTGTCGGCGTGAACGCGCTCGTGCGGGCTGCTGGAGACGGGCTGGTCCTTGTTTGAGGTGGAGGATGATCACCAACCGTCTTCTGCCATAGTTTGGACCTACATTCTTTTCTGCTCGTTCGCGCGGGGCTTGTTGCATTCGACGTCTTCGGGTCTCTAGTAGCGTGTACTGTATTAAGAAAGTGTTATTGCCGCAATACTATACCGCTTCACCGCCGACTATGAGTCCCTGGCACATCGCATTATTCCGTCTTCACATCCAAGATGAACGCTAGGCCAGACGCTCGTCGGTCAACCGGCTGCACTTCACCAGCACCCGCCGTCTCGTTATTCTCTGTGCTCGTCGCTCGCAAGGGCTCGGAAACATGGCATATTGGCACAGAAGAAAACCTACAGATGCCGTATCTGTGCAGCGTAAAGAGAGGCGACCTCAGTGGCGCGCTTCAAGTTTGTATACAATATAATGACCAGTGCTCGCCACGAGTACCCGCGTCCGGTAACCCCTTGCTCTCTACTTCTGAGCTAACAAGAGTATCTTGAGCAGATGTGCCCTCGCATTGGTTTAAGTATGTCACGCCTCCATCCCTCTTTATCCGAGCCTTACGCACTGCCGGCGCCAATCCCCCACAGCAGATATCTCGTACCATGGAGACATCATATCCACGGGCAATCGTCCGAGCTGAAGATGGCTCGCAGCATCCTATTCGGCACGACTACGCCACACATAACGTACTATTTGGGGGTGGGCGAATATAAGCGCCCAGAAAACTTCGATCCGGCAACTTCCGTGTGAGCGATCAACAACGTGCAGCTGCGTCAACAAAGACTTTCCCGTCAACCACCACCAGTCTCCTGTGTGGCATTCCCCTTGCCTTCTCAAAGGCGCCTTTCATCCTTGTTCAAGCTCGAGGCTCGGACTACAGAGCGACAATGGACAACGGAATGGGCCCGGCCGACGTGCCGCCACCGAGCAGCGCCCCCATCGACGACCGCGACCATCGCGAACGGGAACGTGAGGCCGACATGTCCGACACTCGCTCTCGCGACGGCGGCCACACTTACCGCGAGAAAGGTGTCATCAAGGTGCTTAGCTCTTCCTGTTTGCACTCCTAAGTCTTCCAGTTGGGCTCTCTGCCTGGGGCTGTTCTGCTTGCCGCCACGTTGCTCGGCTTCCGAGCTACTCGGACTACATCTTGTGACTGCCTTGCACGGTGGCCTGTCGCTTTTGCTATCATCCCCCTCTCTGTCTGTACAATGGATGGTCTGTTTACGGATTCCTGGCAGCCTAACAAAGTCTATATCGGCGGTCTTCCCGAGCATACTCGCCAGGAGGATCTCCAGAGCTGCTTCGGCAAGATAGGAAATATCACTGAGATTGAGCTCAAGTAAGCATTTCATCTGAATCTATTGCAGATCGCTCGCTGATGAAACGCCATAGGGTCGGCTTCGGATTTGTTGAGTTCGATACTCGCGAGGCTGCTGAAGAGAGCGTGGCGAAATATCATGAGGGCTACTTCATGGGCAACAAGATCAAGGTCGAGCTCTCTCATGGTGGAGGTCGTACGAAGTTTAGCGGCGACCCTGGCGCATGCTTCAAGTGTGGTCAGCTTGGGCACTGGGCAAGGTATGAGTTAGAGAACTACCGCTTATTACTTTTGCTGACTCAGCCAACTAAAATAGGGAGTGCCCCAGCAATGGCGGAACTGTGAGTATTACCCCGGACCACGGACAACACAATGTACTTACCGGTAGAAAGGACAACTACAGGGGAAAGGGCGACTACCGCGAGCCGCGTAGCAGATACAGCGGTCCTCCTCGCGATCGCTATGCATACGATATGCCGCCTCCTCGTCGCCCAGCATCTCCTCCGCGGTCTTACCGCGACTACCCGCCTCCACCAAGTCGCTACGCCGAGCCGCCGCCGCCTCGTGCTCCGTACTACCCTCCTCCGCCCTTCGATGATCGTGCGCCCTACTACCCCCCACCTCCGCGGGAGTACGGTCGCCGTGGCCCTCCTCCGCCCTCCAGCGACCGTTATGCGGCGCCGTACCCACCTGCTGGTGGTCGCCCGCGCTCGCCGCCTCCTGTTGGGCGTGATGATTACCGTGCACCGCCTCCCCGGTAGGATGCATTCTCTGCTCTCACTCGTAACCTGTACTTATCATGATCCCAGCGACTACCCTCCTCCCAGTGAATACCGTGGTCGTCCGCCGTCCCCGCCGCGGTATGACTACCGCGGTGCCCCGCCGAGTAACGGATACAGGTACGTCTCCGTCCCTCTTGCGTTGTGACCTTCCTGTCTGATGTACATGTGTAGCAGGCGCCGTTCAGCAAGTCCCCGTGGACGAGGCTCAGCTCCCGCCTACGATCCGTACGGCGCGCCGCCGTACGCTGGTCCACCTGGAGCTCCACCGGCCCACGGTCCTCCTCGCTCGGAATACCGCGAGTCTAGCTACCGCCGGTCTTGAAGTCCAACACGACGTTATTGCGCCTTATGATATGCAGTCAAGAACAAGAACTGACAACGCCCTCGGACTCAAACCAGATGCTACATCACTCTTGCTGCGACACCATGCTCTGCTTCCTTATTCATCTGTTCTAACCTAGCCGTGATGATGGCTTATTCTGGTACTGGTAGTTCTCTATGCCGCGCTTTGCCTCGTAGAATCTGTCGAAAATATCAATACTCTGCTAGCTGTTGCTGAACAGTTCTGAGACCTGAGGCTAACTTGCAAGTTCATTCCCGTTTGGCTCTGCTCACCGCGTGAAATGTCGGATCGCTCATGCACTGTCATTGGTCTCCGCCTCACCTCAACGTAGCTGATCATCGGCACCAAGGGCCCAATGCTTCGTAACTCCGGCGCTCCGTCAGAGTCAACAATACAGCAATAATCGAACCATCCAGCGAGGGTTTACGTCATTGCAAGCTGTCCGCGGCCGATACGCAATATCTCGCGGGCAATTGAAGGTCTGTTTTTGCCAGAAATGATACCATACGTGTTCGCGGTGGGTGTGGGATAGCCTAAAATGTTGTACGGATGATGCTACTTATGACAGAATATCATATCTTTGGCCGCACGCGTGGAGCACTTCAGTCATAGGGTGTAAGAGCCTGCATATAAGGCGCTTTAACGTGCTAATATCGTCGTACTGTCAACGACTACTTGCACCCTCCACGACGTCAAGTTTCGCTGATTTGAAGGCTCGCCCGCTATGCCGATCGCAGATGTTAGTTCGTTCGGCCACCAGTGATGACAAGATCTGACAAGCGTACTTATCTCCACGAAGCTTGAACTCGTCGTCAAAAGGGAAATTGTTCCCAGTTCGGCAATCACTAGCCTGCCCGTGATCGCGCCTGCACCAATACCAGGCAATTTTGGTCCGCTGAATACGAAAAATTTTCGATTTCTTCTCGAAGAGCGGGCACACATTCTGTGCGCAAGCTCTGTATATGACTTTGATCCTCGTTTTCTGACATCAGTGCCAGGCCTCTGGGGGAGAATTGGAACACGGACAAGCCTTTCATTCACACATATCGTTATCCTGGCGGCGGGCAGTGTACCCTTGCCATCGGCGACGTGTGCGTAGTAGCGCTTATGATATGCTGATTATCGATCGCTAACTAGTTATCTTAGCGTGCAATACTACCCACTCTTTAAAGGATACGCTCCCACTTCATACACACCCCACGCAGACCATTCGTGGGTCGGCATACTCGCCGATTACACAGTATTGAAGCCTGGAAGGAAGGTTGTGAAAGATGACATTGACGATATTGGCAAGTATGTAGAGGTCCCAGAAGTCCGTATCGCGCTCGTTATCACCGCGCGCGTATGCTGATATTGAACCGCGTAGGGGGCTGTCGAGAACGTACGCTTAAGCGCTTCTCGAGACTAGAATCATCTCTGATTGTGTTGTAGATCGGACTATTGAGGTTATATAGTCTGGCTGAGCTCAAGGACATCTACCAGGGCAAGGCTGGGGACGACAAGCTGCCCTGGAAGGGTGCCAACATGTGAGTGTACCGACATACCAGGGCGTCGTTGTTTGACACGCTGACGCTTCGTTCTAGTTTGGGAGAGCTGGTTCGATCAACAAACCTTGGTCCACGCGACCGCCTGCTCTCTACAAATATCGAGGGGCTGACGCTGTCGGGCGTCATTCGTAAGTCATACACGGATTTAGTGCCTTGTTCCATCGTTGACTATAACGTGTAGGCCCCATCTCCACAACCCACGTCGGGATACACGCTGGCGGGGGAGGCACCGTTGTCATCCGCTTCGATCAGCCTTGGCTTATCTTCCATCAAGCCGGTAAGAAAAGAGATCGCACTGGGGTGAGTGGAAAGGGGCTACATACACTGATAATGTACTCATACGCACCCGATGCATAGAAGTGCAAGGGCCCGTACGTCTCTCGGCAGCGGGTTAAGGTAGATCTCTCCTCCATCGAAGGTGACGGCCCCGACGTCGAGGCAGAAGATTACTGAGGGGCTACCGTTACGTCTCATAGTGGCCGAGGTTGGCTGACTCATTAGGAGTATTGCTTGAGTTGTGAGTAAACGTATCATGATCCAATGAACATGCGTGCAATGGATGCGGCGAGGCTTGTACCTTTCTAAATCGCGGCTGACCGAAGATCGGAAGTCGCTCAACGTCGCCCGAAGCCACCACAAGAAAACGCCGCTCCGAACTCGGGGCTTTGACTGTTCATTCAACTTCAATGCATGTACCGCTGCGCTCGTCGTCACTACTTCACATGCGAATCACCTAGAACAAGTGGGGATACGGGACCAGGGATAGACCAGGGTCGATATCTCGCCGTCCGAGCCTCGCCCGAAGTTGAGGCCGAATGCGACAGTGTGAGATGAACGCCACAAATGTGTCAGAGTAGCGAGCTGGTGAATGCCATGGATCGCGTCGTCTCGGTTGGGCACAGGTAGCGATGATATGCATGTCGAAACTAGACTTCCACTGATGCCAGCCCTGACTGGCCGTTCACGCGAGGGTCGGCTACAAGCCGTTCAATACGCATCAGAGCCCACGCTCTGACCACTGAGTGATATTCGCTTTACTGCCGCAGAGCGCAGTCAAGCGCATCGCATCAAGACGTACAGACGTGTGCGATTACTTGTGCGCAGGGATTGCGACTGCGCTCGGCTAGAGGACGTCGAACATGTCAGGGTTGACGCGTTGACGATACAAGTTCCATCTGCTACTAGTTGCTGCTGAATCGACGGTTAATCGGATCCTTCGCGCAACTCGGAGGTCTTCATATCCTAGGGAAGAGGCGGTCTGCGTGACGCGTCCTGTCGGGGTGCTCTGCGCACGAAGTGAACAGTACAGAAATAGCAGTCGTGGTTCGGTGCTTCTTCTTAACTTTTGTTGATGGAGTCCGAACTTCGCACACAGCGCCAGGCGATAGTGCCTCAAGCGCCCCGTCCTTTCACGCGTATGACATGGATATGAGGCATGATACACAGTGTATACTGTAAGAGCATGAAAATCCCTTGAGGGTCCCTACGCGGCGAACAGGTGGTGGCAGAAGACAAAGAGCAAATATTTACAGTGCCCGCGCTCCACAGGCGCGTGAGGCAATTATGTTGGCTGGGCAACAGCGAAGGCATACAAGGGGTTTGCCCCGCAGTCTTTGGCCTCTTGCTCTTGCCCTCCATCCTCGAGCTGGTCTAGTAGTCCTACCCGGCGTAGGCGTGTCATCCCCGGAGCCAGAGCCAAGTTACGCAGCGCAGGGCGCATCTTTCACACAGCCGGTCTTTGTCATCCCACGAACCTCCGCGGAAACTCGTAAACACAATGCCTGGCGCAGCTTCCGACTCCCACCCCTTCTCTCCTGCGACGCCCATGGCGGTCCTGTCCAACGCCTTAAATGGCCTATGGGCCAAGGCTCCGATGCTCTCTCCCTCTGGCGCCAAACTCGAATTACCGCTCATGGCCGACGATCCCTTAACCGCGAAACTCGGCGACGATGAATCCTGCGAACTCAGGATAGAAGGCATGACTTGTGCGGCTTGCGTGCAGGTGTGTAAGCATGCCCGGAGTACTGGAATATATCTGATATAGTCTGTCCAGTCGATCGAGGAGATGCTCAAGTCGCAAGAGGGAATTCACTCGGTCACTGTGGCCCTACTCGCAGAGCGCGGCGTCGTGCACTACGATCCCTATGCCTGGACGGCTGACAAGATCATAGGCGTAAGTGTCCCACATCCTACTCCGTTCTACAACACCCTACCTTTCTCCGCCCCATTGAGCGACCCTGCTACCTGTTTCGCCGCCCATCCATCATTCCGCCGACAAGCGCCCCGTTAAGGCGCCTACTTTCAACACGTGTTATGAGTGGCAGTTCTGACACTTTGCCGTCTATAGGAAATTCAGGACATTGGTTTCGACGCCACCATCATCCCAAAGGCGCGCGCCGATGAGCTTACGCTCCGCATCTATGGCATGACATGTTCTTCATGTACCTCGACCGTCGAGCAGGAGCTGGGAGCCATGCCTGGGATCACCAGCGTCTCGGTGTCCCTCGCCACGGAGACGGCGAAGATCACCTACGACCCTTCTATGGTCGGGGCGAGAGAGATGGTGGACCGTGTAGAGGAGTTGGGCTTCGATGCCATGCTCTCCGACCAGCAGGACGCGACCCAGCTCAAGTCGCTGACCCGCACGAAGGAGATCCAGGCTTGGTGGACACGGTTGAAGTGGAGCTTCACCTTTGCGTTGCCCGTCTTCTTCCTCGGCATGATTGCGCCGCATATTCCCTTCCTCGGCCACATCTTGTCGATGCGCGTCTGCACTGGCTTGCCGCTCGGACACCTGCTTATCTTCCTTTTGACGACGCCGGCACAATTCTGGGTGGGATGGAAGTTCCACAAGAACGCGTACAAGGCCTTAAAGCACAAGAGCGCCACGATGGACGTTCTCGTCTCGCTCGGCACCACCTCTGCATACGTCTACTCGGTCCTCATTTCGATCGACGCCATGATCAACATGCACGACGAGCCGCCCGTGGTCTTTTTCGACACCAGCACTATGCTTATCATGTTCGTCTCCATGGGCCGCTTCCTCGAGAACTCCGCGAAGGGAAAGACGAGCGCCGCTTTGACCGACCTCATGGCGCTCGCTCCTTCCATGGCCGTCATCTACACCGATGCGGCATGCACGCAGGAGAAGAAGATCGCCACCGAGCTCTTGCAGCCCGGTGACACTGTCAAGGTCGTACCAGGTGATAAGATCCCCGCAGACGGTACCGTCGTCCGTGGCTCTTCGAGCGTCGATGAGAGCGCCATCACTGGCGAGCCTGTCCCTGTTCTGAAGCAAGCCGGCGACGCCGTTATCGGTGGCACTGTCAACGGCCTTGGCGCATTCGACATGCTTGTCACACGCGCGGGCAAGGACACCGCCCTCTCACAGATTGTGAAACTCGTTGAGGACGCGCAGACAAGCAAGGCGCCTATCCAGGCGCTTGCTGACCGCGCCGCCGGCTACTTCGTGCCGACAGTCATCTCACTCGCGATTGTGACGTTTGTCGTGTGGATGGTACTCTCGCATGTTATGGGAGAGGACGCGCTCCCGCCCTTGTTCCACCACCATGGCTCGACCAAGCTCGCGGTCTGCCTCCAGCTCTGTATCTCCGTTGTCGTCGTTGCGTGCCCATGTGCTCTCGGACTCAGCACTCCCACCGCGATCATGGTCGGCACCGGCATGGGCGCGAAGAACGGTATCCTCATCAAGGGTGGACGCGCTCTCGAGGCGAGCCGCCGCTTGAAGCGCGTTGTTCTGGACAAGACCGGTACCGTCACCGAGGGTAAGCTCACTGTCTCCGGTATTGCATGGGCACCGACGCACGAGACCGGAGAGGCGCTTATCCAGGCTGCGGACACCCTTAGCCAGGCCTCGCTTAACGTCGTGGCTGCGGACGGCGTCACTTCGCACGCCGCCATCATCGCCATGCTTTCCGCCACCGAAGCGCGCTCCGAGCACCCTTTGGCCAAGGCTGTTGCAACCTGGGGCAAGAACATCCTCGCCGGTGCAGGGCACGACGCAACCGTCAGCACATTCGAAAGCATCACTGGTCAGGGTGTCAAAGCCGACGTGGTCCTCAGCACCGGGTCCCGCTATACCATCTGGGTTGGCTCAGCGCGCTTCGTCACCGAGAACGACGAGAGCCGTCTTCCATCCGCCCTCTCGACCTTCTCAAGTGAAGAGGCATCCCACGGACGTACGCTGATCTACTGCGCCATCGCCAGCAGCACCAAGCGCCCGTTGCCCGTCCTCGCTGTGTCGCTTCAAGATGCACCAAAGCCGTCCAGTATCCATGCTATTCGGGCATTGCAAAACATGGGCATTGAAGTCAACATGATGACGGGCGACGGCGAGATCACTGCGAAGGCTATCGCGAAGCAGGTCGGGATCAGGCCTGAGGGCGTTTGGTCGAGCATGAGCCCCAAGGGCAAGGCTGCGGTCGTTACCGAGCTGATGCAGAAGGGCGATGTTGCGATGGTCCGTTTATTCCGCTCAACCTCGTATAGGATACACATAGTGACGATACTTACAGGTTGGTGACGGTATCAACGACTCACCTGCCCTCGTCGCTGCGACTGTCGGCATTGCACTCTCCTCCGGCACCTCTGTTGCCATCGAGGCCGCCGACATTGTTCTCATGCGCTCCGACCTCCTCGACGTCGTCGCAGCCCTCGACCTCTCCCGCGCCATCTTCCGCACCATCCAGCGCAATCTCATCTGGGCATGCATCTACAACGTGTGCGGCATCCCGCTCGCCATGGGCGTCTTCCTTCCCTTCGGCCTGCACTTGCATCCCATGATGGCCGGAGCGATGATGGCGTTCTCGTCGGTGTCCGTCGTCAGCTCGTCGTTGCTTCTTAAGCGCTGGGTGCGCCCTGCGGCCAGCCTCATGCCCGGCGAAGAGGCCGAAGGGGAGAGCTTGCTAGACATTGCGCGTGGTGTCGTCGGTGCGCCATGGGACTACGTCCGCAACGTGGTCCGCGGTCGCCGCGCAGGATACGAGCAGCTTCCCGGCATCGCTCTCCCCCCTACCGCCGCACCCGACTCGTCCGTATAGAACGTCTCTGCCCACGCCGCCATCCACCTTGCTTTCCGCGTTTGTTTTGTATCGTAGCTGGCGTAGCCTGGCCCTCATTCGTTCCTTTGGGTTTTGCTCTGACTTACGCACACACTGTCCGTGACATTGCTTTGCATACTATCACTATTATCGTTATCGTGTACATTAATGTATCCCTATATTCATTCGAACTAAGTGCCCCATGCCGGGAGGCAAAGGTACAGAAGACTCGTGGTCTCTTCAGCCACAACGACGGTCATCAAAGCAAGCTATGGTTTCATAGTAGCATCAGTAGGGAGATGTATGAGCGTGATACGCCTAGATTATAGTCTTGTAAGAGTTCGATAGGAAATATGTGTTTAAGAAGTGTACGTCAGGCGGAAAGGGTCAAGGAGGGTTAACAATCCAAAGAATAGGTTGTAGGCAGGGTGGCTGCGTATATCCTTGGCAATTGTCCAACAAGCGTTCATCGTACCGCCGGGATCTCTAGTTGTCGTCGAAGAGGTCCCGCACAGAACGCTCGCCTCTCGGGTCAAGCGCTTTTCGAAGTGTCTCAACCTTGGCTGCAAGTGCGGCTTCACGCGTAGTAAATATCTTGACTACATCCGCCATATCCAGTCGCTTTGCTTCGGGAGTGCTGAGTGGTTCTTCTCTTGCGTAAAGCTCCGAGCGCGCGGTTTCAACCCAGGTCGGTATGTTGAAGTCCCGAGCTAAGACTAGTCTCTCCACGGGCGGCGCTAGGTCGCGTAGCTTCTCAATAGCTAGTGAGCGGATGTCAGGGAATTCCCACTGATGGGCCATGCGAAGGATGCTGATCCAGTCTGCAGTCGTCCGTTCTTCCGGAGCATAGTGACTCCTATAAGCAAGGTGTTTCTCAGTCTTGGCTATCACTGATCGTAGGTGTTTGACACGTACCGAGGGTACAAGACAGACAGAAACGCGTTCAGATCGCGAGTATCAATATTCTTGAGTTCGACCTGCGCGTAGATGCCTTGATCGTCGATCTTTGCTTTCCACAATGGCGAATGGGCAGCGAAGAGCGATCCATGAACGCGGTAAACTAGGGCAGACTGTGGCATCTAAAGAGCGTATCATCAGTATACTGGTTGAGCCTCGTCATTGACGTGAGAAATTACGATGAATGTCAACGATCCGTCGTCCAGATAGAACCGCTCATGTCGAGCGCAAGCGTTCAGAACAGTCGGGGTGGACGACCGCGACAGACCGTCTTTCCCATCGGCCACGACCAGATATTCCGTGCTTGCCGTGACCTCGGATATCGCATCACTGAGCTCGTCCAGGTGCTCGAGCGACATGGCCCTCGAACGCGGAACGTGGTGGTCTGCAATAAACGCGTACATAGATTGAGTCGCGCGTCAACGTTGCTAAACAGGAACCATCAAACACGATCACATGAGCGCGTTGAGCACTGCCCCCAATTTCGACAGATTTCCGACGCGCTCTTCCTTTCGCACAAACCCCCATCGTCCGCCGTGTGCCACGCCCTGTCAAAGAGCTTCTGGATCTCTGATATACTGGCCCGGAGGGCCTATGGGAAGCTTGATCTCTCTAAGAAACGCCAACAAGCTTCAATCTGCAAAAGCTACAAAGAGTCCGTCGTGATACAAAAGTGTCCTGCACAACCGCCACTGTCCACATTGAGAGAATCGAACGCGAATATGAGATATAGCTAGTCAGACTCATGCATGGGTCAAAGATCAGGTGTCCGAGTAGCTCCCAGCGTTTTGTATCGCGGACATTACTTGGCCGCGACATCGACCGTCGCGTTCAAAATTTGGTATAGCGGGAACGGGCCGGACTGTAGTTGCACTTGTCAGCCGTGCCAAGAGCAGAGGAAAGAGATGACTCACTCCAGCGAGCGCGAGATGTACGACACTGAGAAGTGCTTTCTGACCCCCGAGGGAGTCCGGGATGGAGACGGTGAAGTTCTGATAGGGTTCGTTGTTCCCTGCTTGGTATTGCGGGTTGAAGGGGCCATCGTATAGTGTGGTTCCGAGGGTTTCATAAGGGTCAGGGCATGCGCCTGGGGCGTTGCAGGGTGCAATGGAGATGACGATCGCTACTTCTTTCGAGTTCGTGAGTGTGTTCTGCGAAGAGTCACAGTCGCGTCAGCATGCTTTCAGGAGCGAGCAACGTTTGCACACACAGGCCGTCTAACTTGTACGGTGGCGTCTCCCGTGGAAATAGAGCTACCGGGCAGAGGTGACCCGATGTTAATGCCTTGCGCGTACGCGCCTGCGATGAGAGCAGCAAAGACGGCGGTGAACTTCATGTCGATCGGAGAAAGCGAAACGGTGGATGTGGTCGTTGCGGATGCGAGGGGGTGACTACCTTTGTAGATGAGAGAGGCGTTGAAAACTGGTGACCTCTTATATAGAAATGAGGCGAGAATCCGGCAGAGACGAAGCGCCCGTGAAGCGTTCCAGCGGGGAAAGAGAGCCGCAAGCGATGCGGCAAAACACCCAGATTGTATAGCTGCCAACAACGGATAGCCGCCTCACGCATGGTCGCTCATCCTCATCATAGTCAAAGGGATAGTCTCTGCTTAAGCCCGGACACAGTGCAAGAGTACGCCGTACGGGATCAATTCCCCGGTCATCGATGGCCACGGTCTGTCGGTCTGCGACCGTTCAGCGGTACAGATCTCATAAAGAGGGTCGCAGTATGATAGTTTTTGGTAGTCACTTCTTGCGTATAGACTGTACTTCAAGCTGAACGTGACTTCCACCAGAATCCTCAACAAAGTTGACTGCCAATGTATGCTCAGAAGATCGAAGGAAGGGGTCATGGTGAAAGCGGCATCATACGTCCGTCCTGCCCGGGCATCGAAGCCGCTCACTTAGGAATACGGTCGGGATGATCCCAGTGATACCATGCGCTACCTCACCATCTTCTGTTTCTCCCGGACTATGAGCGCCCACTCCGTGAGAGAGCCGCACATATCACTTGCCGGCGAATAGAGCTCGGGCGAAAGACGCCAACGCTCGGCGCCCGATGGGCAGCTCGATTGGACCGTAGAATAGGGCCATACGAATTGATGGACAATACAGTGGTCACATGTAAATGGAGAAGAATGTCATAGTATACTGCGAACATCGTCCTTGGGAATGCGGAAGAATAAAGTTCATGAAAACCGTGATGCAGTGATGGCGAGGATCAGTTAGCAACCACATTCACTGTTGCATTCACGATCTCGAATAGCGGGAACGGGCCAGCCTGAGTCATTGTAAGCGGCGATGAGCGCGAGGGAAAGATGGTGTGCACTCACCCCCACCAGGGAGAGATGGACAACGCTGAGAAGCGCTTTCTGGCCCGCAAGCGAATCCGGGATAGACACAGTGAAGTTCTGTTCTGGCTGATCAAGGGGAGTAGGGGTCGTCGGAAACTGGGGGTTGTAAGGACCGTTGTAAAGTGTCGTCCCTAGCCGCTCCGCAGGGTCGATGCAGGTGCCGTCAGCGTTGCAAGGTTCAATGGAGATGACGATGGCAACTTCCGTTGAGCCAGTGAGTGAGTCCTGTAGGAAGGACGTTGTCAGAAAGCTCGTATACACGCAAGCGGATCGGATCGGTACGGACAGGGCGCACAACTTCAACGACTACATCTCCCGTAGAGATGGTGCTTCCCGTAGTAGGAGAGCCAATGGTGATGCCTTGCGCATACGCACTGGCAAAAAGAGATGCGAGGACAGCGATGAACTTCATGATCACAGTAGACTCAAGTGCAGGTGGGCGAGAGGGACGAGAGTCGATAAAGATATATGGAGGGGTGCATCCAGTAGTCTCTTATAGAAATACGGGAGCTGGAGGCCAAGGGGTCGAAAAAGGCGGCTCGAAAGGTAAGGCACGAATGCATCCTGCCGGGGAATAGAGCCGTATGCAGTGCCAGCAAGGAAAGCGCCCGTCAGTTAGCGTCTTGCGTGAACGCTCGATCTGCACAGGCTTTCGTGCAATTGTGGCGCGATGCCTGGCAAGGTCAAGCTTGACCGCCGAGGGTACGCAGCACGTCAGCCTTGATACCGTGCGCTCAGACCCTGACCACCTAGTGCATAGACCACTGGGATCCCGGTGAGTTTACTTGACAAGCGGACATATCGAAGTATGCACACAATCACCTCGTCGAGTACCAGCGAGTACCGCTCCTGCCATGTCACGTGCGTGAATACTCAGGGCATGAGTCGTCCGTCGCATTCGAAATGTAGCTGTGCCGCGTGCGGCAGCACATATCGCAATAGGTGAGACACGACGCTCAGTACATCGAGGTTTCAGCCGTGATCGTGAACACTGCAGGAGAAAGGGTTTCGCCCCTAGGGCCCTATGGGAAAGGTCCATAACTCATGGGCCTAAATCCGCGCCCTTACGACCGCTCAGCTCGCTGAGTGCAGCAGTTATGTACTAGTCATATAATTGGGACAGGGAAGTAGGAAGCCGAACCATACACAGAAGGTCGACGAACGGTCGTGATGGCGGGCGCGTCCAACGTTGATCGCGTCAAGCGCGCGCGCTGAACTCTATCGGCGAATGCCGAGTGTCGCACGCATTTCCGGATCGTACAGTGTGACCGATAGACTCACCGCTGCCGTAGTTCGATTGACTAGAGCACAACGCAATCTCATAGACGTACTGGGCGATATCGTCGTCATCAAGAAGCACAATCGCTGTACAGCGTTCACGAGGATTCCAAAGCGTAGGCACCGATCCAACTGGCGCGTACATAGATCTCGAAACGTTCGGTAAACAAGACGGGTGTCATAACAGACTGGAAAACAAAGACTGTGACGACAAACCCCTGAGCGATTCACCCGTACAATAACTACATGTACACCAATAATCCAGCTTCAATCTGGTGACGAAAGCATACGGGAGTCGATATGACGACATGAACACATCTACGGTCACCGGTCACCCCTAGTTCGCTACGACATTCACTGTTGCATTCACGATCTCGAACAGCGGAACAGGCCCAGCCTATGCGGTCGTCAGCGAGATCGCAAGGGAAGGGAAGAAGGATGTGACCTACCCCAACTAGAGAAAGGTGAACAACACTGAGAAGTGCTTTCTCGCCCGCGAACGAATCCGGGATGGAGACAGTGAACTTCTGCTGAGGCTCATCCTGGGGAGTGTTGTGCGGAGGGAACTGGGGGTTGTAGGGTCCCTTGTAAAGGGTCGTGCCAAGGCGGTCCGCGGGGTCGAAGCAGGTACCGTATGCATTACAAGGAGCAATCGAGATGACGATGGCGACCTCCTCAGATCCGGTGAGCGAATCCTGAAGAAGCTCGTCAGTCCTTGCGAGATAGGAATCACGACTCAATACACGTACAGGGCGGTTGACTTGGACAACCACATCTCCGGTCGCAATGGTGGTACCCGACGCGGGCGCGCCAATGTTGATACTCTGCGCGTATGCACCGGCACAGAGAGCAGCGAGAACGGGGATGAGTTTCATGTTATACGAGCTTGACTGGTGGATAGGTGATCAAGGACGATGAGTAGCGGTAGCACGAGTGCGAGAGAAGTGGATCGATGCAAGAAGTAGGCCAGGTGCCATGGTCTTTTATAGAGAGACACGGAAGCTTGAAGTCAGGGAGTCGGGCAAGGCGGTTGGGAATGTGAAGCGCGAAAACGTCCCGGCGGGGAGCAGAGCCGTATGCGGTGCCAACCAGAAAAGCGCCCGCTCATATAGCGTCGTTCACAAGTACTAGATTTGCACAGGATCCCATGCGATTGCGGCAAGGTCGTTCACCTGGCGATGGTGTAAAGAGTACACGACTAGATGCTCAAAGGGAACGTCGAGGAACCGACACCAGTCTCAGTACTGGCCGCCTGATCATCGAAGAAGATTCATGGGAGTTGCTGGAGTTCTGGCATGTCGCGGTCAATGACCCAACTCTGTCAATATCATGAGAGGGGCGGGACGAACCTTGAGCATCCTGACAGTTTCACGGCCATATGGCGCGAAGAGTCAGGGCACGGAATGCCCATCGTGACCGGCCAATTGGCTATGCTTCGGCGCGCGCTACATGAGTAGAAAGAAAGACATATAAGGCTCAGGGTCATCGAGGTTTCAGATATGACCTTGAGCACAGGAAAGAAGGGACCTTTTGCCCGTATGGAAGAGCCGTTAATGCTACAACTCTGGATCCGCACTTGCGAACACACAGTTCACCATATGCAGTGAGGATAGCTTCGTCTTGGAGTAGTCGGTTTATGGAAGTTGGAAGGCCCATCCAGCTACAGAAGTCCGACGAACGAACGTGATGACGGACGCGTCCAACGTTCTCCTGACATTGCCGCACGCGCCTCCAAGTCTACCGGCAAAAGCCGGATGGCTCTCACACTCTCGACGCATCAGCAGACTCAGTACTGTGTACTAGCCAACAGCATGAAGTCCAATCCGTACAGCGCCAGGGCACTCAGACTGCTACCTGTAGTGGTACAAGTACAAGGTGATTATGCGGAAGAGTGACGAGAGGACAACAGAGTGAGAGAGGTATACGATGTAGTACCGGCGAGGGTCAGTTCAGGGATCAGCCTAACTCCATCAAGACGAGCCGTTCGTGGCACGACCATTTCGTGCGCCTGTAGCATCGTACTGTGGATGTATGAGCATCTTTGCATGTCACTGTGTGCGGAGTTTGAACATACCTGGAGGATCATCCTTGAAGATGCCCACGGTGTCGGCAGCTGATCCTTGCCGATGTACTGGTAGAGGAGATTCTTAGCGCCCGGCTCGTCGACGGCGTAGCTATGATGACATTGCATCAGCATGTGCGGGTATGGAAGGGAGAGGAGGCGTACCGCTTCAGGTAGCCTAGGTTCTTGGTACCGGGGCGGACGCCGGGAAGCTCAATGATAGCGCGGACAACTGAGCTCATGATCTTGGTCGTCAATTCTGCACCCAGCACGCTAGAGACATGGTGAGGAAACTCTACAAGGCATACCAAAGATCGAAAACGTACCGAGCGCATCCGTCACCCAATAGGTAACGGCCCACTTGGCCACGGTTCAGAGAGAATGACGTCGGATTGGCGAAGACGTCCTCCTGCAAGAGCATGCGTCAGACCAAGATCTTCGAAGGCAAGGAGAGGGCATACATCGAAGCTGGCCTGATGCAGGTCGACAAACACACGTTGGCCCGCCTGAATGGACTTGTCGCCGAGCGTCTGGTCGCTTAGCGCCTGGCGATACACGCCACGGAACGGCGGGTCAATGCCTACAAGGGACCCCGTTAACCACCATCGCATGAGATGTTGGGGGCACGGCGCATCGATACGTACGGAGAGATTCATAGATGAACTTGTCCAGCGTTTCGATCGGAACGTCTTTGATCTGCTCGACCGAGACTTGGTGCGTTTGACCGAAGACAGTGTTGACGGTGTTAACGAGACCTTGCTTGACATGAGTTATTAGGTGTACACGAGAAAGGACCCAGACGTACACTGGGAAAGCTCAACGGTAGCGCCAACCATTAGCGCAAGGATGTTGTTCGTGACGTCGTCGATGTCGGAACCGAGTGCAAGCAGACGGGCCGCAACGGCGTTCATGGACTTCTTCTTGCCGCCGAGCATACTCTGGATAGAATTGACCAGACCAGACATGGACATCTACGAAAGCGTGAGTCAAGCACTGGCATGAAAATGTGAACAAACGTACGCGGTTGCTGCGGATCGTTGAATGGATAAGATGCTTGAGCTCTTCCACATGCTTCTTCGCGCCCTGCTGCGAGCGCATCGCCTTGTCGGGGTCGATATCGAGGAAGATGTACTGGTATATCTCGGACAGCTTCTCGTACAACTCGACCTCAGTGTACACGCCATGATCGTCCTTCTCCTTGATTTTCTTGAGCGAAAGCCCCAGCTATACAAATCATCAGCTCTCTGGTCCGCGCCGCAGTTAGGCAGCTCACTCACCACATCAGACATGATCCAGTGAAGGGGGACTGCCTTAAGCACATCCAAGACGTCGACATTAAGGATGTTCGCGTCGGCGAGCACAAAGGAACGGCCAGAAAGAAGTGCGCGAGTCTTCTCATAGAAGAACTTGCCGATGGCGTCGCTATCACCAGGGGTTGGGACAAGCGCATGAAGAACACTACGCTGATCGGCCTCCGCGCGCCCGGCATCTTTGTTTGCGATGAAGAAGCTACGATGCACGTCAGCACGTGACGACGAAGGACAGTCGGTGGCACCTTACCCCTTGCCCTGCACGACTCGGGCAGCTTTGGTCCCGTATGGGGCGACGAACTGTGGGCTCTTGAGCACCACCTCGGCGTCGCGATAATCTTTGACGAAAACGATCGGCCGGGGCTCGGGCGGACGGGCGTAGTCGTACTGATCCTCAACGTCGAGCTTGCGAAGGAAGCCCATCATGCTCTCTGGAGTCTGCAGCGGGAACCAAGCATAAGTGCTGTTCTCCGTGTACTCTTCCGGGAGTGTGCGCATGAACAAGCGACCGAGCATGCTACCATTCCCCGGGCCGGAAGTGTCACGCTGGCAATCAGCGAAGCCCCAGGCTGTCATGTTGTGAGGCGTGTAGTCGGCGGTGAAGAAGCGATCGCCGCGCGTGAGGGCGATGGCGTCGCTCAGAATAGCGCGACTAATTGTGAAGCCGGGGCAGAGACCAGCGCCGTCTCGGAGCTCTTTGACCTCCTCAGCTTGAAGACCGACGTACAACTCCAGGCGGTCAATGTCGCCATAAAGGTTCTCAGCGGCAGTCGAGATCTCGGGGTCAGAATTCCAATCATGGAAAGTGGCATACGGCTTGAGTCCCAAGAACTATGGACGACGGAATCAATCTCCCAATCTCCCAGGAATGAGACACAGTGAGCTTACCTTCCTGAAGTCATTCAAGGAGCATACACCCCATCGACGGTTCGACTGGATACCCATAATCTCGTGCAGTTTCATCACCTCAGGCGTACCACGAGCCTTGAAGGCAGAGGCAGGATGTTCAGTCCTACGTGATGTGTCAGTGATAAGCTTATAGATAAGAAAAAAATATGCGTACGCGTTCTTGATCCACCAAGCGAGGTCAGAGTCCTTGAAGCTACCATCCTTCTGACGTTGAAGGCTGATAACGTGAAGCAACTCAGTTCAGGCGTGATGAGATGATCAATGGTGCTTAGAGACTGACTGGCCAAACGTCCAATGAGAGGGATCCATGTCGGCGCCCTTCTTCATTTCCAACACTTTGGCGACGAATTCTGGGGGCGTAATCTGAAGATTGCGCGTTGAGGTTCGGCATTCCGACAGGAGATTGTAGGAGATTTACACACATCGTCCGCCGGCTTCTTGAACATGTCGGACATCATCTTGCCTACACGGTGACGTCAGCAACGGCAGAAAGACGTAATGCGTACACTTACCTATCCACTCTTCGTCCTCGGCAGATGTCGTCGCATGCCAGCGATAGAGGCAATTGAACTCTACGCTGCATACATTCCCACGGCCGCGCTCGAAAAGCTCGTGGTCCATCCCGCGCATTTCCTATCCAAACCCAAGGTGATGAGTGTCAAAGACCGGTGAGATTTCCTGGATAGTACGCACGCCAAAGGGGTTCAAACTCCAAGAGCTTCCCAGACGGACGAGACCAAGGATGCTTGCGAAGTAGTCGCCAAAGACTGCGGAGCCGAACCAGCCGCAATTGACTAGACGCGCAACCTGTAGAATCTCCTCGTCCTGCTTCAGGAGCGCCTCCTTTTCTTCGGGTTTACTTGTATCGTACTCTGACGGGTCCTTCCAGGTGCCACGTTCGTTGATCTCGAGCAACTTCTTCGCGATATACTGCACGTCCTGTCAGTACGCAGCTCGGGCATGCCTGGGAAGATGACACTCACATTATGGTTACGGCTGAAGAGGACAAGAAGTGTACAAACAGCCGGTGGTAGCAATAGTAGACGATCCTCGGCGAAGACGTCACGCCGAAGCAATCCCCGACCATCTTTTACGCGGAGCGTGTCCAGTTCGTCTCTGGTGTGGCCGTACAGCGGGGAGAGATCAACGTACGAAGACGTCTCATTGATATTGGGGTCGGTGTGCGATGTACGGAAGACGCTTCAAGACGAATCAGCGGACAGGCAAAGTTGGAAGTCATGGGCTTCTTACGTGTGAATGACGAGTGCCGCGAAGGAGAACATGAGCGAGTTCAGCCCAGCTGGGTGCTTGACAAACTGAAAAGTGCAGGACGTCAGCTGACAGACGAATCGGGCAGAGATCGGAAGCCACCTTCTCGCGCTTCAGCAGCGTGTCAAAGATGAGCCCAGGATCGGGCAATTCATTTGGTGGAAGCGGATGCGATTGTTGGACGCTACGAGCGTAAGGGGTGAAAGATTTCCCCATGGCGGGAGACTCTATGTTATTGTTCGATCCATCAGGTTGCCTAACATTGTAGTCCTTGCCCAGCTGCGTCGCAGGTGGGTGCGCCAGGTCGTTATACAGAAGTTTGACCGTTTCGCCCTCGAAGAAGGTCTTGATGGTGCTCGACGGGTGCGTGGCGAGCGCCGTCAGCACGTATTCAAGCTGTGGAGTGTATTGGTACGGAAATTACGTCGAAGTGCAAGTCACGCGTACGAGCATCTCGCGGTCATTCATCTCGTTTGGGTTCTTGAGGAAGTCAAGCGCAGGTCCCTGGTGAAAGGACAGTCAGCTAGGCTGATAAGACTCAGTGCATGCGACGTTACCAGCATGCGGGGGTCTACGATATGGCCCTGCAATCCCTTCCTAATCTGCATACAAGTTAGCGATGCGTCGGGTGAGCAGACGCGACAAGCCACACCTGGTCACGGAGGTCATTGATGATCTTGGGAATACCGCGTTCGTCGTATTCGGGGTTGGGGAGCGGAGGTTTGGCATTGTTGGTACTCTGTGGAGGTATCGTGAGTGAAGGTATTCGACCGGCGACCGATTATCATACCAATCCTCGGGGGAGTATGCGGGAAGCCATGATGGACGCAGAAGACCAGAGACGGATGGGCAACGCCACAGCGCACCGTGACGGCTATATAGGAGCGCAGTACGCTCTCACGAGAGCCACTACGAAACATTCAAAACGTCAACGAAGCGCGGAGCTGAATGGGTGGCAGGTAAGGAAGTTTCGCCGGTGACGAGGGCGATCCGCGAGTGCGCGCCGTGGGCAGGCCATTCGTGAAGCCGGCGCTGAGCGTACATCGTCGGGAAATGCCTGAGCTCGATGTACCAGATAGCAATAAGTATAGACGAGTATGCGACCAGAGAGCAGGGAATAGGTTGGGAGTTGTACGAGGCGTAGAGGGCGGTACGCTTTAGACTCGTCGGGTGACAGCCTTCCGATGAGCGTCATCACGTCTGCTTTGAATGGAAGCGCGTCTACTGGGCGCCTGATCCCGCTGTCAGTCATCTATCTCTTTCCGGACAGAAGACACGCCGCTCATTGAGAAGAGGCGCATCAACTAACGGTTCGAGCGACAGTTGGAGGCAGTTCAAAGAACGCCACCAAGTTACGGTAGGAGATGCCAAAGTAGGATTCAAGTATGACCCAAATGAAGTATTAGTGCCACGGCGGTGTCATGACAAGCGCGAAGCGCGGTCTGCGACAACGCGTCATGCATACAGGCATAATGCATTGATAGGCGTGATGAAAGCTCCGGTTCACCATAAACGCCACGAGCTTCTCGAACCAGATAGCGAAGGCTCGGAGGGTTCGGAATGGCTGTCCGTGGAGGGCTTCACGGTCTGTACAGCTTCGTATATTCTTCGCTTCTCCTGGGATATTCGAAGGTCTTCCTCCCGCTGCTTCATCTTATCCCGTCGACGCTCGTCATCACGTAGCACGCCTTGATACATGACCTGAATGCACACGCCGTCAACATCTCATCAGCTTGACATAATCGAGTTTAGTCCCACTTCGTGCTCCTTTTGTTGCTGCCAGTGCACGCCATAGACAACGCCTATCGTGACGGCGACGGTAGTGGCAAGTGTAATAGTGGCTTTGCGGGACATCCTGCTCGTCGTGGCCGTCGAGAACAAGATGATGCCGCGCCGCGTGGACGGAAGCCGAAGCGTCTCGGCCCTCGGGTCTGGCCGCCGCGTTACTCCGCGCGACAAGTTGTGACCCTACGCGTTTGAGGTAATTTTCTGACACGGTTCGGCGGCGCGCTTCCGGCGACGTGGTACGATTTCCAGTCCGCCTGGACCGACTTATGTAACACTACTTACAGCTCAGTCCGCAAAGGCGGCACGGGTGTTCGAAGGTGTTCGAACACGCCGCTTGCTTGCTTTTCGACCATCACCATGTCGGCCGTTTCGACTGCTCTGAGCAATGGCAGCGGCGATCTGCGCCGGCGCACCAATGCGCTCGGCGTAGATGTCACTGACGAGGGCCGCGAAAAGGACAAGTTGCTTGACCAGCACCAGAGGTGAGTTGTGCAGTTGTCCTACGGTGGTTCTAGTATTGATATATCTGTGCAGCTATGAGTTTGGAGGACCTGCTGGCGTCGTATTCATCATGACATTCTTCCCGACTTTAATGTACTACCTCTGGATTTGCCTCTGGTTCTACGACGGCCAACTTGTATACCCCACATCTGTCGACAATATCAAACCTTTCCTGTCCGACATGTGGCAGCACGTCGCAGTGGTATGTATTTCTCTAGCGCTAGCAATGCAAAGTCTAACCTATTACAGGACGCAAGCCCGAACTTGTACGCATGGAAAGTGTACACCGGCCTCATCATCTTCCAGCTGGCCCTCGCGTTGGTTCTCCCTGGATACAAGCAAGAAGGTCTCCCGGTCCCCTCGCTCGGGTACAAGACCCTCATGTACAACTGCAACGCTCTTCAGTCCATCTACGTGACCATGATCACCTCCGCTGTGCTGCACTACACCGGTATCTTCCGCCTTACCGAAATCATCGACAACTACGGCCACCTCATGACCGTCGCCATCATCTACGGCTTCGGCATCTCGTTCGGCATGTACTTCATCACCGTTGCTCAGGGCAAGCAAATGCGCATGTCTGGCAACTTCATCTACGATGTCTTCATGGGCGCCTCGCTGAACCCGCGTATCGGGTCAGTTGACCTCAAGATGTTCGCGGAGGTCCGCATTCCTTGGGTCATTGTCTTCTTCCTCGCGGTGTCGGGCGCATGCAAGCAGTACGAGCAGTACGGCTACGTGACGCCAAACATGCTGTTCATGTGCCTCGCAACTTGGCTCTACCTGAACGCTTGGTGAGTGAGGCCAATAAACCAGTTATTCCGTACTGACTTCTCTTCAGCGGCAAGGGTGAGGAGTGCATCCCTCAAACCTGGGATATGTTCCATGAGAAGTGGGGCTTCATGGTCATCTTCTGGAATTTCGCCGGTGTTCCCTTCGTACGTACCCTTCTTTGCCCGATCTGGAGCCGCCACTCACAGATGCCATCAGACCTACGTCTACTCAGTCGTCTACATGGCCTCGCACGACCCCGAGACCTACCGCTTCTCGACGCCAACCTACGTCCTGCTCTACACGACGCTACTCACCGCCTACTACATCTGGGACACTGCCATGTCGCAGAAGAGCCGTTTCAAGATGCAGACCCAGGGCGTCTTCGAGTACCGCTGGACATTCCCGCAGCTTCCGGGCGGCACGATCAAGAACCCGACGTACATCCAGACCGCACACGGCAACCGCCTGCTCACGAGCGGCTGGTGGGCGTGGTCGCGCAAGCCCAACTACGTCGCCGACTGGACCATGAGCTTCACGTGGGGCGTCTGCGTTGGTGCCGTGTCGCCCATTCCTTACTTCTACTCGATCTTCTTCATCGTCGTCCTCATCCACCGTTGTGGTCGTGACTTCGAGAGGTACGTTCTCGTATGTGATAAGAATGCGGATATGGTACTGATTCATGGACAGGTGTGCGGTCAAGTACGGCAAGGACTGGGAGCGCTACTGCGAGATTGTCAAGTACAAGTTCATCCCCGGGATCTACTAAGGACCTTCAAAATGTCAGTATTGATGCTGGCGTACTGAACTGTACACCCTTACTGTACCTAGACTATCTTGTCATGCATCTAATACATGGCCGATCAACCTGGACGGCTTGCTCTAACTTATCTAATATCGCGGCGCTATCGTGGCCGGGTTCCCCAATGCGTGTGACCAGAGTATCCCGGTGTCAATGCTCATCACTGGTCAGGCCTAAGCCGGGTGATCGTCCGCAACAGGCCCAGGAAGAGGTTGGTCGTGATCGATGACCGGGGGCCCCGTGACGAATACAATGAAGTGATGGCTACCCAAGCGTCTTGTAAGGCTACAAAGGGCGCGTTCGCATGCAAAACGCTGTACAGTATGTTACCACTTTCGTACGAGCTACGATAAGCCATGTGCGCAAGCAATCATGGCAAAGACGCAAAGTTCTCAACGACCCAAACAGAGTACCGCTCTGTATCATACATGCACCCGCATTCCCATTGCAAAGAGTTGACTCCCTAAGTATGAGAGTGTTTTACATAGTCCCAGATAAAGAAAGACCCAGATGAACAGTAGAGAATCAAAGTAACGCCGAGCAGTAGCGCGCCGTTTAGCAAATCTACAATATCGCATTGTCAGCTCTGTGGAACGTACTGCACACGACCGAGTGTTTACAGGCGAACAGCAGAGCGTGATACTCCCGGAGCCATTGCAGCCGATGTAGCCCGCTGGACACTGGGTGGTCGGGAACTGGATAGTTATCTGCACGCGGCACGTGAGCAGTCCGAGCAAGTAGCCAAAGGTGACAAAATGAGGCTTACGCAAGTTCTTTCCTGCCATACCGGCTGTACATCCGCGACCCTGTGATACCCAAGTGTCTCTGCAGCAGACTGGCTACACTCGTTGACGTCCGTGTGCACTGTACCAGCCCAAAGATACGTTCCGCCAAATTGATCGTACAGGACGTCGGTGAAGGGTAATTCCATGGGCGGATTGCCGGAGGCGAATGCCATGTTTCCAGTGTTACAGTCAAAGCTGATGAAGACGGGGATCGTGTAGTCCGCAGAGTTCGCAGGTTGGTCCGTAATCTCGTACGCCCCGGTGCCTCCCGTGCAAATCTGGCGGGCCCGTAAGTGGTTGCCACCGATTGATGTACCTGTTCCCAAAGCGTAGGCGTCCTTCAGAATATTCATGAGTGGGTGAACTTTCTACAGAGGGGAGATCGAAGACGTACGATGCGTCCGGAGCCTTGTACAAGATATGGAACGGGATCCGTCCATGTTTGTGAGGGAGCATGATATATGATTTGACCTTGTGTGCCAGGTACATGACAAGATGGTAAAGTCGGGCGTGGTGGAAGCAAATTCTGATCAAGTTGGTCAGGGACGATCTGTACTTCCGATTTCGAAGATAGTACCGTGTAGCCAAACGAAGACGGATTGAACTGCAGAGCAAGGTCATTTGGCGGTGTTCTTGGCAGCGGGGGCACACAGCACGTACCGATGCGTAATACAGAGCGTAACACGGTGGCACAGAGGTAAAACCTTGCCGAGCTGCGGCAGTGTTCATTGCCGCCCTGTAGTACGCAAACGCGTTGTTGGCCCGCGATCTATGTGGGTCAACGACTGCTATCTTTCCTGCAACGATGGCGCAACTTACGTGCACCCGTTCGGATATGTTTGCAGAGTCTCTATGAGCCAGGAATAGAAGAGCGCCGGCAGACTGTTCGTGGTATCGAATACACTGTCTGGGGTAATCTCCGCCAAAAGACTCTGAACTTTGCTGGCAGTACTGCTGAACGACGGATTGGTGACTGCAAAATCTGATAGCACATGTTGTTAGCGAGAGTCTCCGTTGATCAGACAATGGACATGCAATCCCCTAGAGCCCCGAAATTGCGAATGAACGCCTCTACCTCGAATATCTGTTCGTCGTCAAGCGGGTTCCCAAAGTCAACTGTATCCCGGATGAAGTTCATCGATTCCTGCTGAGGCGGTGAGTTCGGCGTGGCCCTGTTGTTATTCACGACATTGGATTTCGCTAGATGGTAGCAACTCTGTGAACCGCACGATGTTGGGCATCAGCAGGCGCGCACCTTGATTCATCGGGATGTCCGCCCAGACCATGTTTTCGTACTAGTGCGGTAATCACGAATCAGGGCGGGCGTAGGAACATGAATTGATGCGCAGGACGGCCTACATTATCCATGGCAAGCATCAATGCAGTTCCCATATTGGACCCGTCAGCACGTGTGTACTTGAAGATGTTGTTTACTATCCTGCATATATGAGTCAGTGCTCCATGTACAAGAGAGGCCCGAGCATCGAGAAACCAGGTACAGCCAGCATTTGCAAAGCGTGCGTTTGAGAGGAACTGCTTGATGTAGCCGAGTCTGAAGAGTCGCGCTGAGCAGCCGTGGAGGACAAACTGCAGGTTGTCAGTGCTTACTCAAATATATGTTCCTCTATCATGTGTGAGTACAGACGGCAGTCGTGCGGATTGTCAGCCACTCACGAATGGTCATCCCAGTGTCAGGTCTCCCTTGACCAGGCCCGACATTCTCATTGATCAGTTGCGTGCTGACCCAGCGCGGGTCGTCCGCCAGGTGCACATATGGGACGGAGAACGGTGCGTTAGCTAGGTCCACAAAGCTGGGAGATTGAGCATTCGCGCCGTCGCAATTGTCGACTTGGATAGCTAGGCGGGGCGCGTCAGTGTGACTGCACGATGGTGTTATGCATGCAACATACTTCGGGCGGTGATGGAAGCCGCACGAGCTAACATGAAGTTGCTATTCCTCCTTCGTCGCCGGAAATCGGGATCCGAGCCTAGATCTTGCCAATCAATGTTCTCGGGATCATCTTCAAGGGTATACTGAGTGATGGTAGGGGTGGGGCATGAACCTGTCGTGGAAGTAGAAGAGGAAGATGTGCTGGAGGTCGAGGTCGAGGTCATAGAGCTCCGCGGGTCGGAACCATCCTCGGGCGGTCCGCCGGTCGCTATCGGGTAGGGATTGGGCCATGGACCGACCCACGGTGTAGGTTTGAGAGGAAACGGTGTGATACCACCGCGTATACCAACATCAAGAGGAAGACACGGGTCGATGCGGCCGCCGAAGAGCACATTCCAAACATTGATGGAGGGTTTGCAACGCGTCTGGCTACCAGAAGGACCTTCCACAGGGTTGCTGCCATCCGTGTTCGTTGGGATCGGGACGGCGGAGGAATATGTAGGCGTCGACGTCAAGGGGGCAGTAAATTCTACTGTCTGCGCACCAGGAGGAGGCAAAATGTCCCAAGCTATCTGCAAGTCAGCCGAGTGGAGAATCTGAGCGGCCAACAATACGCACTCCAAGTCGGGGTGATAGCGCTTACTATCGTCACGTCAGGTGGCAAGGTTTGTATCACGGGCGTTCCGCCCGACTGGAGCGTGAGTATCTCCGGCCCAATCGTGATGGTAGTTGTTGCAGTGGGAACCGGGATGACGACCGTTGAACCAGAGCGAACAAAGGTCTCCGATTTAGCAGTGGGCGGAGGAAACGGATTGGGATCTATCGGCTCATGATCAGTAAGCATCGCAACGAGGCTGAGTGTAGACGCACTCCAGGTAATGTAAGTGAAAGACGCGGTGGTTGCTCCGACTGTGGTTACTGACTAGAGAATGACCTAAATGACATTCTTGTACGATCTGTGAAGAGAGCACATACGTGGGGTGGAACGGGGTTGGTCCAAGCACCTGTCCATCCAGGCGGAGGAACCGCTGTTGGCGTTGTGCCTCCGATTATTCCCACGTCTGCTGGAAGACAACCTTGGATCGCCGGACCGACCGTGACAGCCCAACGATTGGATCCATCACAGTTGGTATCACCCGGAGGTCCAAATACTGTAACAGCGCCAGATGACGGTGTTGGCACGGCGGAGACATAAGTAGAAGCTCCAGTCAGGGGCGCGGTGAAAGTGATGGTGGGTTCGTGAGTCGGTGGGGCAACATTATAGGCTGTGAGAATGCGTAAGAAAACAATGTACATCTTCGAAGTGAAGACGAAAGACGTACTCCAGACGGGCGTGATGGCTCCTGGCTGGGTAACGCCAGCAGGGACTTGGGAATTGATTGGGGTTCCTCCTGGACCGAGAACGATAGTGTTTCCGCCGACGTGGATGGTAGTTGTCGTAGAAGGCAGCGCAATGACGACGGTTGTACCTCCCGCGGCGAAGGTCTCTGAGGATGCCGCCGAAGCCGGGTATGGATTAGGGTCTACAAAGGCGTTATCAGAGCACTGCGCGGTCGAACACGAAGAGCATACTCCAAGGAATGCGCGTGTAGGACCCGCCAGATGAGCCTCCAGTCCCAGAGCTGGCACCCTATAGAGCCAGTCGCAGTATGAGCTGAGGCAAAACAGCGTAGCATGGCGCGCTCACATTCGTCAAGACTTGGTCGAGAGACCTGGCCTTACCATAAGCCAATGTCGCTTCAGCTTCGTTCCCGAACGTACCATACGAATGAACCACCGAAACAAGTGTTGGCGGCAAATTGTTGCTTTGCGCTAACAGGCCATCATGTTAGAGCGGGCCTACGCGCTGATATCCAAAAGTTCTCACTCCCACGTATCCGCTTGATCAAATGTAACCAGATCTCCACTCTACTCATCACGTCAGCCACTACTTTTTGTATCAGTGAATCTCGACGGACCTGGTCATCAAACCAGTAGGTCTCGCTAGTTTTATCAAGCGACGCGCTGTTGCCTTACTGGAGGAGATCCTGTACTTCGAATTGAGCCAGGATGCCTGAGGCCTGCGTGCAGGATCCGGCGGTCCCACCGCCAAGCATCTAACGTGGATCGAGTTAACGTTGTGCGACTGTTGAGAATGACAGAGCAGTCTTGCCGTGCAGTTATAGCCTTTACATGATGCATCCGCGAGATGATATGTGCGCCCGTACCACGCCAAGCCTAGACAACGGTAGTCAGGCACCGATCCCGCAACATTCTCGTACAGCGGGTACTCACCCAGATTCACTGAGCATCCAAATTAGCGGAGTGCGATAGGGAAGATGGGAAGACGTACCAATGGACATGTCGATACCTGCCCGAACGTACAAAAGGACACTGTCTTGCATGTCAAGAATCGAAGTGTGCGGGTTGGTGACCGGGGCTTGGTCTGCCACGTTCGTGTCCCAAGGACCATGGTAATCGTATGCTAGCAAGATCTCCGCATCAAGAGGTCTGGCGACGGAGAAAGTAGGTGGGGATCAAAAGGGGATCACGCACACATCATGTTGATGTACGTCACACTGTCCGCAATCTTATCTATCTCGAAGCCCTTGAGAAACCAGTAGCCTGCGGGGGCAGCTGGACAAGCGGATTCAAAATTTGATCCACGAACGAGAGAGAGAATGGGCTCACCGACTGACACGATTGACGAAGGAAGCGCTGCTCGCAGCTCTTTGAAGAAGGAAGTGAGGTTGGGAGTGTCTAGGAACGGTTGAATAGATGTCCAGTAAGTTGATATATGAAAAATGAACCTGTGGCCGGTGCATTTCGCTCGATGGCGCCGGGATACTCTGAGAGCGATCAACATGTAGACTCAGTATTTAGGTGAATAATCGGTCATACCGAAGTCAATGTCTACATAGACTCACGTCAGTGGATGGACAGGAGGCTAGGGTCAAACTAAACGCACCGATGCCATCCGCGCCATATGACGACAATGCAGCTTTCACGCTTGAAATGAAGGAGGTCCGTGTAGATTCGCTGGAGATCATCAACGAAAACAAGTCCTTCGTCGGATCATCCTCGCTGGATGGCGAAGGTTGAGTCACTACAGCCAATCAAGGAAAACAGGCGCACGCACGAGAAGTCCCATCCACCTACAGCGATGACAACCTTGAGGTTAGGATGTTGCGCCTTAAGACCGACAAGCGCCTGCAGATTCGAGACATCCTCGTCCGCGATGACTATCAAAGCGATGAGTGGCATGGAAGAGATTGCAGCTGTAGGATAAACTAATGCACCGATTTCACAGCTCTGCGAGATGGTCGCGAATGCGAAGTGTGCGTGCGTATAGCCCGTCCAGTCCGCATCGCTAGGCTGCATTGCACCGCACGGCCGACGTGCCGCCCAACTCGCAAAGTACCCGATATTTCGACCAAGACTTGACGATGGACATGAAGGTAGTGAAGGCGTGAAGCAGTTCGATATACTGAGATAGTGATGTTAGTCACCTATTCTACAGGCACGGTATAGACGTACCAAGGATTGGGTTCCTGAAAGGGCGGAAGCGTCAAGTTGGCGGAGCGCGCACGAGCAAAGTGTAGAGCATACCGCCGTGGTGCAGAACTCTTCGGTCAAACCGCAAAACCCGAACGCGCTGCAACAGGCGTTGAGGGGACAACTTGCATTGCCAGGGCTCTGCGGGCCGCATTGCAAGCTTGGATCGACACTGATGGAAGTTGAGAGGACGAGTCAAGGCGGGATCATCAAGGAACTACGCACGGAATTGGAGGCGGGGTCCCCGATGAGACGCACATCGTGAAATCAGCCTGCAGATTAGCACAGCCTGAGCGCGAGATGTTGAGGTTTTGTCTACTGAGATGAAGAAGATAACATACCATTCCACTTGAATGTATCCGCGTTCCACTGCTCTATCTCATTCACGGTAATGTCGAACTTTGTTGCAATCACTATGCGAGGCGTACTAAACAAGGGGAAATGAGATGAGATAGAAGCACGTACGCGCGCAATTATCGCCCGAGATCGTGGTATACACAGCACAGGTTCCGTTCGGAAATGGCTGGGGTGCATCACTGGGGAGCGTGCCGGCAGATATACAGACTCTTTGGCCTAGCCAATGATGAATACGGGGACATGAGAGACGGGACAACGCATACCTGGTTGCAGAAGAGAACAGTCGAGACCGGGGTTGTACGATGCAAACTGTGCGGCGGTTATACCGGCGGCGGTGTAGATGTCAAAACTGTCAAACTCAAATCAGACGCACGCTCCGTCGAGGGAAATACGTTGCTCGTACCAGTCATTGTAAGGTTGACCAACAGTGGCTACAGTGCAATCTGATTCACCCGTGTAAGCCAATGAGCAGAGTGGGGCAAGGTGTAGTCTCACCGGCCGCATACACCCCTCCTGTCGCAAAGGTGATGAGCACGGCAAGGACCGTAGCTATGACCTGCAGAGGAAAGACCACCATCGCAACGTCGAACGCCGACAGAATCACAACACGCAGTGACAACCTTTATACACATCACCGACGCATCGAACGGCCCTTCTTCGGCGCTCATAGAACAGATCAGTTGTAGCAGGATACATACTAGAAGCAGTATGCGGCGCTGACAGAATACGCGGGGACGAAGGTTGAGCGGGCGGCGGAGCAGCTGATATAGGCAAACTCAAGCACCATATGGCTTTGCTGGTCCCAAACGTGCTTAGGATCAGGTATATTGAGTATTCATCAGACAACGTCGCTCAAGACCTTTACATTCCACAGCCCTGCCATGCTTCTTCTCGAACTTTGTCCCAGTCGTGGCGGTTGCATTGCCGAAGTAGTCCAGGCAAGTTACCATCGCATACCCCGAGTACGGATGTAGAGCGGGCTTGTGGCTTCTGCGCGTGCGTACAATCAGCAGGGAGATCCTATACTGCCCCGAGAGCATAAACAACGTACTGTTTCAGGCTCAGGAAGCGAGTCGGCGAAATTACAAGATGCCGAACATTGGGACTCTCCCGTTGCCCACAAAGCATCAAGATTCCAGAGGTATTTATCTCGTAGCAGCCTCACTACTGAAGGCGGAAAGGCGCAATTGAGAGCTAATGCATAGCTACCAGGAGCGGTCGGCGGCGCGCGTGAGGAAAACTTGAGGCGACGCGCCCATCTAAGCCGGATAGCTGCCCCTTAGGGTCGTCTGCTTGAGGTACCAAGGAGGGTGCTGAAGTCGATGGGCGCGATGGTGCCCGTGCGCGGCGAAAGGGCAGCTCGCTGGACGCATGCTCGACTTCCATGTTGCACCCGCCGTACCTCCGAGGTTCGCGTGGGGAGAAACGGTTCCCATTCAAGTGCGGGCGCCCGAGCTGACGATGTTCTCTTGCGTTTCAGGCACGACCGACGGGGTGCTCGAGAGTACGGCGTTGTACCGTCCTGATGACTGCCATGAGTACACGCATGCTTTAGCAAAGAAGGAGGGTATCATGCATCGTTGGGGCACACGACTCGGACACCAGCCTGTAGCAGCAGTCATTTGCACGAGATCGCGGCTTGAGCAAAGGCTATGGTCTGGACAGATGGCCGACGTGGTGTCGAAGGCGTCTAAGCGTAGGTGCGCGTAACTTAGCATACGGCTTTCGATAATTCTCGTCCAGTACATGCGTACCTGAGTAGCGGCCTAGGGATGAGTGTACAAGGTGATGATGGTTCTACTCCATCTACGTATGCACATATATCGAGGGCGCGAGACGCCACATACGCGCAGGCCGAAGCCAAAACGGCGCGTCGGCGCATGATCGGCCGCCGCGCCACGCGTGCGGTGGTGGTTCGCATTCACTGCGTGTAAACACTCGGACTGAGCAAGCTTGAGGAATCGTCTGTGATACGGCATCGCTCGGCTGTAGACACACACTCCTGTCCAATGCCTATGGCGAGTAAGGTTACGCGCGTTACGCGCGTAGTAGGGAAGAAGCACAGGACTCGGCGAGCCACTCAGGAGCGTGAGAGCAAGCTCCGAGCCACGCCTTGATAAGCGAGCCACCGAGCGAAGGTCGTTCTCCTCCCAACCACCACCACCCCGCACACTCTCAGTATACACCATGCAGATTTTCGTGAAAACCCTTACCGGCAAGACCATCACCCTCGAGGTCGAGTCCTCGGACACGATCGACAATGTTAAAGCCAAGATTCAGGACAAGGAGGGTATTCCTCCCGACCAACAGCGCCTGATCTTCGCCGGCAAGCAGCTCGAGGATGGTCGTACGCTCTCCGACTACAACATCCAGAAGGAGTCTACCCTTCACCTGGGTGCGTGGGACCGATCCCGCTTATCGGGGTACTCGGACTGACTTCCTGTTTCGTGTAGTCCTCCGTCTCCGTGGAGGCATGCAGATCTTCGTCAAGACCTTGACGGGCAAGACGATCACTCTTGAGGTCGAGTCGTCGGACACGATCGACAACGTCAAGGCTAAGATCCAGGATAAGGAGGGGTAAGCCTCCACGCTCATCACATGTGTTGTCGCCGACTAATACCGCCGTCCTAGCATCCCTCCAGATCAGCAGCGTCTTATCTTCGCCGGGAAGCAGCTCGAGGACGGTCGTACACTTTCGGACTACAACATCCAGAAGGAGTCGACGCTCCATCTCGTCCTTCGTCTTCGTGGAGGAATGCAGATTTTTGTCAAGACGCTCACCGGCAAGACGATCACTCTCGAAGTTGAGAGCTCGGACACCATCGACAACGTCAAGGCGAAGATTCAGGACAAGGAGGGGTGAGTCATAATAATATGTATGTACTCCGAGAGCGTCCGCTCATATGCGTCTCGCAGTATCCCCCCGGACCAGCAGCGCCTAATCTTTGCTGGCAAGCAGCTCGAGGACGGTCGCACCCTTTCTGACTACAACATTCAGAAGGAGTCGACTCTCCACCTCGTCCTTCGCCTCCGCGGTGGCATGCAGATCTTCGTCAAGACGTTGACCGGCAAGACCATCACGCTCGAGGTCGAGTCGTCCGACACGATTGACAACGTGAAGGCGAAGATCCAGGACAAGGAGGGGATCCCGCCGGACCAACAGCGTTTGATCTTCGCTGGCAAACAGCTCGAGGATGGGCGCACGCTCTCGGATTACAACATCCAGAAGGAGAGCACCCTCCACCTCGTTCTCCGTCTGCGTGGTGGCCTGTGAGCTGCGGTATTCGATCGCTCCGTTGTTGTCATGACCTTCTTTACGCACACCCTGTCATTCACATACTTGTATTACCTGTAGCTGGCGCCAGCATTACATCATGACCATACACTTGTTGCAATTCCTCAGCGAGTGCTTGTTGTAGTATGGATCTGCGTACACGTCCCACCGGTACGTACATCGTGAGCAAGAAAGGCTCGGAAGCGCCTGGGCGTATCTTCACTCCGACCACCATCCTCGCGCTCGCGCGTGGAATGGCTTGGTGATCAAACATCCCATGAAATATCCCTGGTGTACCTAGCTATACCGGTTTACCGTACAGTTCAAGCGCACGCGTCCCTACGGAATCTCAGGAGAGACCTGGGGTATCAGGAATGCGGAAGACAATCTTTTCGCCGCTGACCTGAAGTGCGGGTACATAAGCGCAAGGTGGAGGGCTCGCAAGAACCTTTGATAGACTCGCCTTGCCAGCTATCATGTATTGCATTGCATCGTTGACGCCCTCTAGACCCTTCTCCCAGATACGAATCGGCATAGGTTTAACCTTCTCCTCGGCCAGAAGCCGCGCAGCGAGTTTGCAGTACTTGGGCGCGTCAGCCAAGCGCGAGGGTGCGTCCGGTCGCTATCAGTTGTTCATGAGCCGTTGTGCACACTCTCGAGGAGTCCTGCTAGGCACTCACGTCTACGATCAAGTCATATGCGACGGACAGCTCCTGAGTCACATTGGATCCCAACGCAGCCTTGGCCTCATCACTATACGGAAGGACTGTCGCGATCTTGCCGCCCTCGGACGATAGAGCATCGACGATGATCTTAGCCGAGTTGCCCTCGGAGATGGCGTCGACGGCGAACTGGATCTTACCACCTGAGGCCTCCTTGATCTTACTGCTAACCTCTGGATCCCGGTAATCGAACGTAGCGTCCGCGCCTAGACTCTTCACAAGTTCAAAGTTCTTCGGCGAACATGTAGCGAAGATCTGGAAACCTGTGGCCCTGGCTATTTGCACGACATAGAGGCCCACGGCAGAAGACGCGCCATAGACCAGCAGTGGGGTCGACGTCGGAGCTCCTGGAGAGAAGGGTGTCGGGAGGTTGAGGCTTTGATAAAGCGTCTGGAAAGCCGTGTATATGATGACGCCGATCTGCGCGCCCTGCTCGAAGGACCACGAGTCGGGAAGTGGTATACAGAAGGATGCCGGCACGACAGTGTATTCTGCGAATGAGCCATTCCCTTGCCGTTTCAAGTCGTATCCGCCTCCCGACGCGAACGCCGCTACCCTGTTACCGACTGCGACTACAGTTAGCGGCGCCGCCACACTGCCCCTGGAGATGCTCACCTTTGAGACCGGAAGCTTTAGCGCTCGGTCCTAGCTCCTCGACGATCCCAGCGAAGTCGCAGCCAGAGACGGCGCCTGGCTTGGTCATCCATTTGGCCGACTTCCCTGCGAAGCGTGCGCGTGAGATCTAGCCATCGAAGACAGAGTGCAGCGTACAGTCAGTGGGATTCAGCGCTGCTGCGACGACCTTGATGAGAGCCTCATTCTCTTCGGCCTTGGGCACAGGGATCTTCTTGACTTCAACGTCACTAGACTCGGTGATAACGACGGCGGAGTGCACGGATGGGGCCATCTGTGATTACGATGTGAGAGACGAGAGGAAATTGGTCGGGCGAGAAGTGTTGGTATGCAGGTCGTCAAGGCCAGCCTCTTATCGCATTGCGTACTTATACGCCATCCACAGTCACTCGGTTAGGTTTGGGTGCGGGTTCACGCCAGAGCGGAGACCCATACCCAGTGGGAGGATGATGTAGTTTCCCGGCGATCGGCAATTGACAGAGCCTTTCCGCGCTCATGGGTACGGCCCAGCGTATCCGGAGTCATGAGCGGCATGGCTTCGTGCGGGGAACGTGTGAAGGTCACAATACAGCCTTGAGAGGGCTGGGGATGTGTAGCCACAGAAGCAATGTCACCTATGATGTTGTACTATTGTGAACCAATTCCAGCTCAACCTTATGCGACCACCGCCTGTATTGGACAGAAGTTCAGTTAGATACTTGTGCTGGTAGTGAGATCAGGGAGACTAGTGCCGGCTCGGACGCTTCGTGCTATGTACATGCTTCGGAATTCCGACGATGGAAAGAGCCACTCCGTGCTGCCCAACTCCGTTCATCGTCGGGTACATGCGTCATCATCATCCTAGGCCAGGTGTATCTGCGATACGAAAGACGATCTTCTCGCCGCTAACCTGAAACGACTCGCGTAAGCGAATATACACAAAAAGAGCATCCCCGATACAACTGACCTTCCCATCCATCATATACTGCATGGCATCATTGATTCCCAACAGGCCATTGGGCCAGACACGAATGGGAGTAGGTTTAACTTTCCCCTCTGCCAGCAATTGTGTGGCGAGTCTACAGTACCGAGGAGCATCCGCGAGCCGAGAGGGAGCTCCAGGAAGCTATCAAGTGTGTTCAGCTCTTCAATCATCCAAACCCCACTCATTGTCGACACGCACGTCCTCATTCAGGTCATACGCAGATGACATCCAATGAGTGACATTAGGGCCCAGAGCCGCTATGTCCTCATCGCTATAAGGAAGGATAGTAGCGATCTTGCCGCCCTCAGACGACAAAGCGGGTACAATGATCTTGACAGACCCTTGCTCGGAGATCGTGTCGACAGCCACCTTGATCTTGCCCTCGGAGGCGGTCTTGATCTTGTTACTAACGTCGGGATCTCGGTAATCGAAAGTAGCGTGTGCTCCCAGTGATGTAACGAGCTCGTAGTTCTTTGGTGAGCAGACGGCATAGACATGGAAGCCGGATGCCTTGGCTATCTGGGTTACGTAGAGGCCGACCGCAGAAGACGCTCCGTATATGAGCAAGGAGACTGCTTGAGGTATCTCCGCGTACGGTGTAGGAAGATCGAGGCTTTGATAGAGCGTTTGGAAAGCAGTATATATGGCGAGACCAAGCTGTGCGCCTTGCTCGAATGTCCACAACTCTGGAAGAGAGATGCAGAGGTCTGCTCTCGCCACAACGTACTCTGCGAACGAGCCGTTCGCGGCGCGTGCTAGTGTTCGAGTTGAGTGCAAGTTACATGGTTCATTGCAGTGACTTGCGTACCTCCATTCACATAAGCTGCAACGCGATCGCCAACTATATGCCTTTTGAGCGGCCGTTTAGGGACAACAACGGAGAGTAGTCTTGCCTTTCCACCTTGAGACTCCCGAACGGGGACCGAGTTCCTCGACCACTCCGGCAAAGTCATGGCCGGCAACGGTGCCCGGCTTGTTCGCCCAGATCTTTGGGGTCTTCCCTGCGCATCGTGTCATCAGGACAAGCTATCCTCGGGTTTGATGCTGAGTGGGACTTACAGTCGGTAGGGTTGAGCGCTGCCGCTACCACTCTCACCAGTACCTCATCTTCACCAGCGTGAGGTACCGGGATCTTCTTCACCTCCACATCTCCGCTCGCATTCACGACGGCAGCAGTGTGAGTCGACGAGCGCATATCAGATGAAGATCAGATCGACAGCGTCCAGATGGTAAAACGATGTGTTGAGCTCAAGCCCTATGCTTTATCTCATAGGACCCAACTAGAATGAATGGGCACTTATTCTCCTTGGTAAGACTAGAACAAAGACGAGAGGATGGCGTTAACCGTCATATCCCGAAAGTCTCGGCATAGGTCAGCATTGGTTCCATGCTCTCTATAGCGTCTCAGAGAAGGTAGAGAGGACTGCCACCAGCTTGGTATCCCGATGAGTATGTGTGTACTTCGAGTGTCGTATTGGCCACCCGTGCCTCCGAGCGACTGATGGATACCTTCAATTCACTCTCGCCGTCTGTCACAGCAGAGAACAGCGTCGTTGATCGGACGGATGGCACGCATTGATGACATCAAAAACGGTGTAAACAGGGGGTAGCATTCCGCATTAGCGAAAGTACACAGCGGGAAGTTGAAGGTACAGCTGAACATGGAAGTAGAAGAAAGAGAAGGTTGGGATGCATGTGCGCGCCGTCGCGAGTCCGCCACGTGTCGGCAAGTGCCGCGCTGCCGCGGCGGCGCCTATAGACGCGCACAACTCTTGATTGGATCCTCCAGACCCGCTCACGCACGACCGACGCGGAAGACGATCTTCTCGGCGCTGACCTGCCACGCCAGTAAGCAGGAGTGTTCAGAAGGAAAAGAAAAGTACGGCTTACCTTGCCATCTATCATGTACTGCATGGCATCATTGACACCCTCCAGCCCGTTCTCCCAGACCTTGATAGGCGTCGGTTTGACCTTCCCCTCAGCAAGGAGTCGCGCTGCAAGCTTCGAGTACTTGGGACCATTGGACTATTGCGAGAGCCGTGAGAATCGTCAATCACCTCGTATGAGAACATTCTGCCTGCGTACCTCCGAGAACACAGCGTATGCGTTGGAGAATTGATGGGCCACCTTGGAACCATCCAGAATAGCCTTGTCTTCGTCGGTATAGAAACCCAGCGTCCCAATCTTGCCTCCCTCAGACGACAGAGCGTCAACGAAGAGCTTACCCGAGCCGGGCGCGGCGATAGTATCGACGGCATGCTGAATCATGCCGCCAGACGCCTCCTTGATCTTAGCGCCGACTCCCGGCTCCTTGTAATCGAAAGCAGCCTCCGCACCGAGACTCTTGACCAGTTCGAAGTTCTTCGGCGAGCACACCGCGAAGACGCGGAAGCCGGCCGCTTTGGCGATCTGCACGGCGTAGAGTCCGACGGCGGAGGAGGCGCCGTAGACGAGAAGAGGGGTCGGAGTCGGAGTGCCTTCGGAGAACGGCGCGGGGAGATTGAGACTCTCGAATATCGCCTGGAATGCTGTATACATGCCCACTCCGACACCCGCGCCTTGCTCGAAGGTCCAAGTGTCAGGAAGCGGAATGCAGTGGTCCGCGCTCGCGGCGACGTGCTCGGCGAAAGAGCCGCTTATGCCTCGGGCTGGGATTTTGTCGTCAGCATACGGTCGACATCGGTACGGTTGCTTCATGCTTACCCCACGGGATGTACGATGTCACCCTATCTCCAACTATACGCACCGTCAGAAGTCAATCTATACAGGTAGTGGCACGTTCAACTCGCCTTTGAGACCAGTCGATCCGGTAGCCGGGCCAAGTTCCTTGATGACTCCAGCGAAGTCGTGGCCTGGGACGCTGCCAGTCTTGCCGAGACCCTTTGTGATCTTCCCTGCGTAGAATCAGCAACAGTTCACGACAGTTCAAAGAAGAAAGAGTATAGCATACAGTCCGCAGGGTTCAGAGCGGCAGTGACGACGTTCACGAGCACCTCGTTCTCGCCGGCCTTCGGGATATCGACCTTCTTAATGTCGACGTTGCCAGCCTCGTTGATAACAGCAGCAGTGTGTGTAGCAGAGACCATATTGTTCGAAGAATATAGGCGAGACTTGTTGAGTGCGACGATGTGCGAGGAAAGAGTCGATACTCGAGATTGAGTGTGAAGTGGTCGTAGACTCGACGTCGCGTATTTATACGCGACCGAACTGGAGTGCGAGTACATAACCATCGCTCCAGGCCGGACTGTGTAGAGGTATCGCGCGCTTAAGATGGTGCAGAGACATATCACGGCGATAAGTGGCTGACAAAGACTTGTCGTATCTTTGGAGCTTAACCAGTCCCGTTAAGGGGTTATTGATACTTATCCCGTCAGCGCGCCGACTAAAATGCCAGGCTGATGAGCACCCTTCGAGTCCAGATGGCTTCAATACGTGTCCTCTGTGACTAGTGATGACAGATGTGAGCGCGATGCCGCATGCCGGAGGAGCCCAGAGTCATTCTGGAGGTCATCAAGAATGGTCAAACTCGAACTGCAGTCGCGCTGTACTCAATTGAGCGGGGCAAGCACCGCTGGGCTTTGTCAGCGTAGTCCCGGGCCAACAGATCATAACCGACTCTAACGTTCAACTCCTCAGCAAGGATGAACTGGACTGTTGGCTGAGTAATACAAGCACGCAAGGATAACAACGGCGACCGTGGCAATGGCTCCTCGTTCGGCACCTATATCGAGAGCAGAGAGGCAGATAGCAGTGAAGATAGGGACAAGTATGAGATCTCAACGCGACCATTGACATGTGCCAATGTACAACATCAAGCGACGAACACACTTGTCGCGGCAGTTGCGGAGAAAGCTGACGGGGAGAGGCTACGGCGGCTCGGGCCGGTGATTTACCACGCTGTCGACGCACCTCTGCGCACTCGGACTCGGACATGTACGCCTCTTGAAGATTGAACACTCAAGACGTCAGTGCCAGATCCAGACCATACTATGTCTCTCCCCGACTCGGTTGGCAGTTGTCGAGACTAGGTATTCGATAGAAGGACTGAGATATTGAGATAAGTAGGGTATACGAATGCAAAGATAACCATAACCGTCGTAAGAAAATCGTCAATATCATGCACCAGAACCCATGTATTCCACAACCAAATCGCCCCCTCTCCGCCCAGCGTGGACATAGAGCCTCACTCATACGGCATCCCCTCGAGCGCCTCGACCAAAGAGTTCCAATTATGCGCCACGCCGTCCGCATAAGCCGCTTCTTCTCTCGCGAACGCCTGGGCTGCTTGTGTGAGAAGCGTGTTTTCGCGATTATGCAGTACGACGCGGAGTTCGTGCCACATGCTGCATACCCTCATCAGCATTCCGCACCCAACATCCACGTCCAAGTCAAAAAGACGTACCAAGCACGAATAAACACCCTCCTCCCCAACTGCGCCTGAATCATCGCCTTATCCTTCTCGATCAGACTGCCCAGCCTATCCGCCTCCTCTTCCCACCCGTCCTTCGCGCCGGCCCTGATCCCGTCCAGCTTTACGCTGGTCGTGTCGATGCGCTTTTTCAAGCGCTCGACTTGGTCGGACGAGAGTCGGTCGTGCCGGACGAAGAGGTCGCGCGTGGCGAGGTAGAGGTCGCGTTGGGATTTGATGGATTCGAGGGTCGTGTTTAGGAGGACTTGAGTCTGCGCATACATTCGCGGGCGTCAGCTTCAAGCCATAAACTGAATGTGGGGAGAGACGTACGCGCTGCTCAAGCATATCCGTATGAACCTGCGCATGCCCCGCAAACCTCTTAACGCCCTGCTTAACGCCCTCACTCAACTCACAATCCTCGCCCCTCCAACACGTCCCCTGAACCTCCGGCAACGCCCTCAGCGTATTCGTCAACCTTGCCAGATCAGCCTGCATATCCGACCCGGTCGATTTCGCGTTCGAGGCCGTCGGATCGTTGGACGAGGACGAAGTGAAGAGCGATTTGATGGACGTTGAGAGCGAGCGGACGGAGAGGGTGTCCGAGTCCGTTGTTGAGTTTGAGGTCGTGATAGTGGTGGGATTTGAAGGGTAGAAGGATCCGGTGAGAGATGCGGAGAGGCCTAGATGAGGGACTGGTGGTGGACGAGTGGTGGAGAGGGGCCGTACCGCTGCTGCTTCGCGCTTTCGGATGATGCGCTCGGCTAGAACACTCATGTTCTGCCATGATTGTATCAATGGCACGATCTTGGCGCGTACGGATCTGTACGTAGAGTACATCAGGAAAACAAAGTCCAGAGTTAATTGGGGGACAAGGATAGGGAACGCACGCGAGCTTGTCTTCGAGGTCGCTGGGAATCGTCATCTCTTCTACGCGGTCGACGCGTTTACCTGCCGATTCTTCTTCGAGCGAGATGGTGGTGTGTTTGCGCCATTGTTCGAATGAAGGCTCGGCGAGGAATGTGGCGAGGAGGGCGTCCATCTTGATGACGGGATGGTTGCTGTACCCCAAAGTTAGCATGCGAGACAAATCGGGAAGGTGAGGAACTCACACGACGAAGTTCAGGAAGCGCTGTAGGCCCTTTCTGTCTGGATGTCAGTATATGCACAGATCTATGTGATTATCCTTTCACCTTCGCTGTTCGAGGAAAGACTCGTCGGCTGAAGCGGCTCAGTACACATCGTTGCAACTAAGAAAGAGTTTACTCACGTCCTATGCGCTTCGGAGGAAGTTGTGGTAGCAGTCGAAAAGGGTATCTCCGCACTAGACAATCCCACAAGAACACGAATTCAGAGTACCGTCTTGTCACCGGTGCACCACGCTACCTCAACATCAGCACCCATTACAGAAAGAGAAGCAGCAATACGAACCTCAGTAACAAGCTCATAGAGCATATACCGATTCAACAAGAACCCCTGCTGCCCCGCAAAGTTGACCGTAATCTTCTCCTGCCTCGTCCACCAGTTCTTCGGCAGTCCGCTCCCAGCAACCATACTCGCGCCACCAGTCGTGGATGCTTCGGCCGTAGGGCCGGCCCCGTTCGTGGTTGGGGCTGGAGCGCCAAAGGCGGCTGTCCCCCATGGATCATCTGAGGAGTATGTGGGCTGTTTCGGTGCTTTGGGGTAGGAGGGGAGGGTCGAGGGCGCGGAGATGGCTGCGAGGTCGAGTTTGGGCTCTGGGAGCGCGTTCTGTTGCGCGAGGAGGTGCACTTGCTCGACGCTCAGGTCTGGTAATATTATCAGTCTCTTTGTCAATTGATATGACGCCGTATATGCACACCTCGTCCGTCCTGGGCCAGTGCTACGAGCGCGAGCGCGACGTGAAACTCCATCTTGGACACCCGCGGGCGCGAGCTTACGAGGTTCACGATCTACCAGTACCAGTCAGCTTCTATATTTCCTTACATATATCAGAGCACGCACCCTCTCGACAGTCGAAGCCGGCAGCCCCGAGGTGGCCAACACCCTGGAGAGCGCATTGACCGAGCACTCGCCGCTCCCAGCCGGATCCACAGCGCCAAATGCAGCAATATACACACTCGGCACACTGGCCTCCGCTACACACCATGTTCAGTCAATATCTTATACATCTCATCACATAAAATGAGTAATACGCACAGATAGAAGTAGCAAACACCGGCCCTACAGGCGGCGGAGCCGGCGACGGATTACCCGACCAAGGATCCAGACCATCGTCATACGCGCTCGCGGCGAGGGGGTTGGCAGACTCGTCGACAAAGGAGCCGCCGAAGCCGGTGTAGTTGGCGTGTGTGGGCCGCGGGGCGTTGAACATGGCGGACGACCACGACCGTCGGGGTTCGAGAGCGGAAGCGGGATGTGCGACGCGGCGCGGCACCGCTGCCATCTCCGAGCTGCGCACGCGAGCCGCCCGAAGCGGCCAGCGGTTTGCTTATCTGGGGGTGTTCGATGTGGTACCTGTTCATCACGCGGGGTTGGGATTGTCCGAGGCATTCTTTGTTCGTTATACGCAGAAAGCTATACTGTATCGATACATAACAGCTCGAGAGGCTACAGCCAAGTATATAGGCAATTCCAAACGTCCGGACTCCAGGTCACAGAGAGCAAGACAAACATAATGTACTCGGACATCTCCAGGCGTGTCCTTCCCCATTCAAACGCCGTGAGCCTGTTTGCTCGAGCGGGTAGACCTCTTCGGCTCGTTCAAGTGAACTTCTTCGAGGCGAAGTCTAGCGTCCAGAGCAGACGCTTCGAGTTGACGGTCTCGCCATCCAATCTGCAACATAGTCAGCGTCTTTCTACATGAGTTAAGGAGGTGTCACATACCCTGGCGCCTCATACATCAACGGCGCAATATACACAATCAACCCCAACATAGCCAGTGGCCACCCCTCTCCCATGAAGTTGTTGGCTCACTGCACCGTATGATGTTGGGAGCGAACAACACCATTCTCAGACACGCTCGAGGGTACCATACAGACACAACAGCCACTCGTGTCTGCCTAACCTGTCATCATAGTAGCACAGGGAAGCTCCGTCGTCAGAGGGACACCGGCACCTCGAGATCTCCGCGTTAGATGAATGCCTATGCCAGGCGATGTTGCGTTTATCCGTTGATACTACGGCTGTGCCGAGTCCGACACACATGCTCCAGTAACGGTTCTCGTCCGCTGGCCAGGCATTATAAGCGTTCCAACGAGCATAATGTCTGAGATTAGGTGTGAGTCCAGTAGAGAGCGATACAGCATTCGAAGCTCATCCCCAGCCGCAATGCTTGATATTCCAATGCCGAATGAAATATGGCATTATCTCCACACTGCCGAGGCGCTCTGCGGTATATGAAGACCTGGCTCGATGGAATCGTTGGATGGGATGATGGAGGTTCTACGAATCTGGTCTTGCGCCTGCGTAGAGGGTGGAGGCCTGTGAGGTGAGGCGCATTTCCGTACTGTTGTCGTCGCTGAGGCGACACGGGTGGGTTGTGGTCCGGGCGGGTCTACGGTGGAGAAGGCGTTGCATATCCCGAGGCCTGTATTGTGTAGGGATCGAGTGTGATCGGCCCGGCCGTCCGCGTACGGCGAGGAGCGTGTATGGGATATTCCGGGATCTCAAGCTCATTGCTCTCATTCGAGACGATGCTGCGTCCTGAGGTGGGCGTACGCGCTCGACCCTACTCCGAGATGCCTTCATGCTGCATGCGCGTGCTGAACTTTGACGGCGTATCCCACTTTCGATCCATAGAGGGGGATTCGTAGTATATTCTGCTGCACGAGTGTGAGCGCACAGTCGTTCCGCCAGCCATAATGAACGCACCCGCCCTAAGCGCTCCTGCGCTCCTGCCCTTGGTTCCGCCCTTCATAAGATCGATGATCCTTCACCCCGAGCTCGATGCGAAGGCGCAGACATCATTTTCCCTCTGCAGTGTCGAGTGAGTCGTCCAGCCATCTGCAGTGCGTAGATTCAATCAAGTTTCCTCCCCATAATATCGTGGCGAGGACCGCGCATTGTGGATGACCGAGCGAGGCGTTGGGAGGTGAGTAACTCGTAGCGTGACGGTCGTGTTCATGATCGAAACGCTCGCAGCAGCTCGCAGCGCGTTGCGTCTTGCCTCTTGCAACGACGAGGAAATCTACGGCCTCATACAGTATGCTTGCTCGATTCATGGCGCGAAATAGCTGTGCCACGCTTTGGACGAAGCCACATGTATACGGCTGGTATTTCTCGAGACGTGGCTGTCGTGGCGTGCACGGCCAAGGCCGGTTCACCCACGCCGCAAGTCGCGGCAAGTGTGCGCGCACCGTTAGACGCTGTGAAAGACACCCCAATTTGATCCTACTCGCCATTGTCTCCCACCAGGAGCCAGATACGGCGGTCAGCATCCTGTCTTTCGCACTCGCCTGGTTCTGTTCACGCGACGGCGTGATTGATATATCGCCTCAATGCCTGAGAACGACTCGGGCAAGCCTCAGTATGCCCAGCCAGAAGACTTATTATGGGATACGTACCTGCAGGCATCTCAGGACGAGGACGCCGCACGCCCGAAGAACTGGGAGGGTAGCACGACAGGCATCCTCACCTTTGTGCGTGCCCCTTGCGATGAATCCTAGTGTTCATACTGATGACATACTGTAGACTGGTCTATTCGCCGCGACCGTAGCGGCGTTCATTGTCGAGAGCTACAGGCTCCTCTCCCCCGACTCTGGTGATCAGACCGTCCAACTACTCTCGCAGCTCCTCGTCGCGACCGCGAATGCATCCTCGGGCCTTCCAGTCGTCGTAACGACGCCCGAACCGTTCTCTACTCCACCCATCGCCATCGCTACGAATGCCCTATGGTTTACGAGCCTATTAATCTCTCTTATCTGTGCACTGCTGTCAACTCTTGTTCAGGAATGGTCTCGAGCCTACGTTCAGGACATCAATAGACGAAAGGTCCTTCACGAGAGCATGCGCGAACGCGCCTTCAATCACATCTACATCCGCATGGGCGTCAATCGGTATGGCATGGATCAATTCGTATCCTGGATCGTTGCGCTGGTGCATCTTGCCGTCTTCCTCTTCGCATGCGGGCTTCTTGTCTTCCTCTTTCCCATTGACCACGTCGTGGCCGGCATTACTACCGCGATCTTCGGGATCTTTGTGATCATATATTGTGTCGCCAGCCTGCTCCCTCTCCTTGACAAGAGCTGTCCATACAGAACTCCAATCACGTACTTGATGGCCTTCGTCTACTGGTCTACGCTTCGAAGCTGGTTTCATAGCGTCGTCTCATGGTCGCGCCATAAGCCCAATGATATCGACCACCCGACACTCCGAGTTCTCCTCACAAGACAATATGTACGCGACAAGGATGAATCTCTGAATCATTTCCCAGACAGCTTCTTGACCGATGCTCGAAGTTCATTCATGTGGGAGCACACGTTCCTCCATATATCGCGAGACAACGAGGAGCATCTTTTCAAAATGTTACCTTTCTTCATTGAGAAGCACCCAGATATAGATGCTCTACTAAGTAGATTATGTGCCGATGACAGACTCATTGAATGGTTTTCCTGGTATCTTGAGCCATTATACCTTATCTATTATTGGATCAAACCCTCGCCAACACACATCCCCTTAGAGATATTCTGGCTTGTGTCGGATCTCTCTAGGAGGATGTTCGCTTCAGAGGTTGAACACTACGCTGATGGCCATCAAGAGACTGTCGCACGCACGAGCTCGAAGCTTCTGCGCGTGATTGGCCTAGTGTCTGGGATCGCAGAAGTCGACGGGCCTGCTCAACTCCAGGCTCAGATATGCCTTGCGCATGTAAGGAAATCCCTTCTGAAACTGTGTCTGAAGGCGTCTACGAAGATGCCGACTCTTCAGGAAGCGGAAGTGTCCACATTATTCGAAGAAATACGCGACTGGAATAACTTCGAGCTTAGGGGACGTCATCCCTGCGCGATTCTCCCTGTTCTCGTCTGTGGCATCTTCTCCCAATTGAGATGGGAGCATGCGAGCGGGTTAATCTTGATACCCTTGCATGATGACGATTGTTGCAGAGGCTGGAAAAGTGTTTTGACCCCCGAAGGTCGCGCCCATGTAGCAGCGTGCAACACCTTGACAGTCATTGCACACATATTGTACTCCACCGACGAGCAAAGACAGCATGACGGCTTTCTGACGTACACTGCCACTTTCAACACAGAGAGGTGGCTTGAGGATGGCATTGTCATGCCAGGCGATGACGCAATGAAGATGCCCTCCCCCGAATTCGTGAATGTTCTGCGATTGGCCGGCCTCGACGAATGGCTTGAGCCTGGGAGCACATTTGATACTCTACCTCGCGATGGGCCTGATCTATTCCTCAATACTCACCATTCCGGCAGGGGTTGTATCAACATACTCCGAAAACTCGCAGAGTGCGTCAACTTTGGAGCATACTTCGACCGCGCAGCATCTGCCCAGCGTGGACCGCCCACGACTTTACCGATCCTGGGCACCGACAACACCTTTGAGCATTGTCATCTTGCTCAACCGGCCGCAGACGTCTCAAATGAATCGGAGCCAAAATCGCCGCACAACGCGCGAACCTCGACGATAGGGGTCGTAGACGGTAACGTTGAAAGCGCCCGCAAACTGCTCGCGAACTCGGACTGTGGAGCCTTCGCCCTTGCTGCCGGGGAAGATGCGGCTATCAACTCACAGGGAGACCTGGTAAATAAGGATTTGGTCAGCGCTGCGGGAACGGCAGCGCAGCTTCAAGGCGAGCGAGACGAGGAAGAGATGGTTAGAACTAGAGTACCCGAGCTGAGGACGGTCACCATTGACCGTGATCGTGATGCGGTTACGGCGGATAAAGGGGCTTCGGATGGAGCGGCGACCGACACGAGAACGCGGGCAGATGTCAATACGAGTTATGGCCATGAAGATATCCGACGAGACGGATAGGTGAGAAGAGCAGAACGGCCGGGAGCACTGAGCCGTGCGGATGGACAGGCCGAAGTTGATGAGGTTGCGGCGATAGGATAAGGCATGTCTGATTGGCAGTATAGGGTACGGTACAGTAGTTCGGGCTCTGGTGTACGTATCACTCACATGCGGATATAGTCCTGTATCTAAACGGCAGCGCGTAACGACGGTATTGAGTGAATATATGTGAACGTAGCGACGAAGCGCGTTGACCAGCGTTGACCGAGCACTCTCCACTTCCGGTGGGATCCATAGCGCTAAACGCAGCATGATACATACTCGGCACACAGTAGCCTCCGCTACACCATCATAAACCATCAGCAGAGATCATCATACATCACCCAATAAAATGAATAAACGTACAGAGAAGTAGCAACCACCGGCCCTACAGGCGGCGGAGCCGGCGACGGATTTCCCGACCAAGGATCCAGTCCATCGTCATACGCGCTTGCGGCGAGCGGGTTGGCAGACTCGTCGACAAAGGAGCCGCCGAAGCCGGTGTAGTTGGCGTGTGTGGGCCGTGGGGCGTTGAACATGACGAGCAGCGACCACGACCGTCGGTGTTCGAGTACGGAAGCGGATGCGCGACGCGGCACCGCTGCCATCTCCGAGCTGCGCACGCGAGCCGCCCGAAGCAGTTACTTATCTGGGAGGGTTAGCTGTGGTACCGATATCCAAGTCACGCGGAGATGGGATTTTTCGAGGCATTCATTGTTATACGCAGAAAGCTACTGTAGCAAGACATATCGGCTTGAGAGGCTACAGCTGAGTATAGAGGCAATTCCAAAACGTCCGGTCGGACTCCGGGTCCACACAGAGCAGAACACATATATTGTATATACCAGAACAAGCCCTCGACCCCTGCAGCGCGCGCCCATCTCCAGGCGTGCCATCTCAGCGTTCGTTCCATTGTGGGATATGGAAACCTTTTCTTGCTCCTCTAGAACTTCTTCGCGGCGAAGTGTAGCGTCCAGGTGCTGAGCAGACGCTTGGAGTTGACGGTCTCGCCGTCGAGCCTACAATAGCGTCAGCGTCATACTCCTCTCTCGATCGAAGAACGAACATACCCTGGTGTCCCGTACGTCAACGGCGCAATATACACGAACATCCCCAACATAGCCAGCGCGAACACCGCGACGAAAATCGGGCCCCTCATCCCGATCTCCGCATAATTCCTATTGCGAATGGGCGTGAAATGCCCGCGCTCGCTCACGGGCGTATTGACGGTGTCGGAGAGCAAGAATTGGAGCACGGCGCCGGCGACGAGGGCGGACGCGAGGTGAGAGGGGAGGTAGTGGTGGAGGAAGAGTTGACGGTTCATTAGGAAGAAGGGGAAGTAGTGGATGAACCACACGAGCGTGAAGAAGCCTGCGGAGTTCCAGAGGCGTTGGCGCACGGCTGCAAACAATCACAAGTCAGCACAAGACTCTTTTGTAGGGGAAAAGCGAGACGTACAGTGGGGAATAGCCTTCACATTCCTCCTCCTCCCAATCAAATCCGCGCCCATAATCCCCACATAAACCGAAACAGCAACAACACAAGTCCACCACCCGATGATATTCCCAATGAAATAAATCTGCTGTTGCGTCTCCGTCTCCGTCCAAAAGCTAATGCCGCTCACCAAGAACGGCCAGTTAACGGGCAAACTCGCGTACGGGTGGCTAGCAGTGAGCCCGGCGTTGTGCTGCAACATCAATCCCTGGAGCTCGAAAAACTTCTTGAAGAAGTTCCGTTTTTTCGGCTCTTTCGACGCTTGGGTCAAGGGCGAGATGCTGCGCTCCTGCAAGTTCTCCGGCTCGCCCGACTCGATGATCTCGTCGGCGTACCACACCACGCCGCGATCCTGCGGGTTCTTGTTCCCGTCGATCTGCTGCTGGCGGAACGCCCAGTCCGGCAACTGCTGCGGGCTCGTGAACATCGACACTTTCGTCTGCGTGTGCACGAGTCTGAAGTGCCCGGACTTGCTCCGCCACGCTTCGCCGTCCTCGCCGTCTTGGAGGTAGACGTAGAACAGCGTCTCGTTCCACCTCGAGTAATCGTCCCGGGGCCAGGTCGTGAACTCTTGGTTCGTCGGCGTGAGGGGTGAGGCGACGTCGTGCGTGAGGAGGACGGTGCCCGTCATGACGTGTAAGAGCTGGATGGCATCTTCGTGGCGCACGATACGGCCGCGTCCGGTCTCGGGGAGAGCCTTGGTGGGGATGATCTGCCAGTTATTGTTCTCGTCGGCGTGGCCGTAGCCCGTGACTTGTTGCCCTTGGGAGCTGATACGTCCGTCGTCGTACCGGAGGGGGTACTTCTCCGGGTGGGAGTGGAGGAAGACTTTGGTGTCTTTGTGGCGGATGGTGACGGTGTCGTAGTAGCGGATTTCTAAAATGGGGTTTTGGCAGTCGTGAGTGAAGATCTCTCAGGAAAGTAAGCGCGTGAGACGAACCTTGACTGTTCATCAATAGTTCATTGCCCTCCAAGCTCTCCTGGAACGCGGGACTCATGAACGAGTCGCCAGGTCCGGACTTGGTAAGGATCGCGAAATGGACCCAGAAGAACGAGAGGTAAACGATGAAGGGGACGAGGATAAGACCGATCGCGCGAGCCATGAATTGGCGGTAGAACACGTCCTGGGAAGACATCGTGAGTCTAAATCAGAAACAACAAACTCTAATCAGACGTACGAGGGAAGGATTCTTGCGGAAGTCGAGGATGTCCCACAGGTCGACGAGGACGGCTGCGCCGATGGCGAACACGGTTAAGATACCGTTGACTTTGGAGCCCCATGTGCACGCCATGAATACACCGGTCGCCAATAGCCATCCCCACCACTCGAAGGTAAAGTCACTGAACAAGTTGAGAATCAGCACTGAGGCAATTCACACGCGTGGGACGGATATACACACCGGTAGCGGAGTTTGCGGAACCGGACGTAGGAATAGATGGTGAGGGACATGAAGAATATAAGCGTGGCGTCGAGCAAGATAAGCCTAGACTGTGCGACGTGTGCGTTGTCTGTAATCGGTTTCAGAACACGTTTGCAGCTTCACAAGACGTAATGGGGGATGGGCACGCACCCAGCAAGACGAGGATGGCGGAGAACGCCGATACGACGGTGCCGTAGCCGCTCTCCTTCATGATTCCATACACGACGGGGATAGTCAAGCTGCCGAGGAGCGCAGCGAGACCGCGCATGCCGACGTAGGGGACGTTGTTCGCCGTATAGCTCTCGCCGATGTTCTCGAACAAGAACTTGCCGTCAAAACCCACGAACCATCCCGCAAGACCGAACAACATCTTTGCGAACGGCGGGTGCACGTCGAAGTAGTACTCGCGCGAGATATAGTGCGCAGCGAATTTGCCGAAGTGGACTTCATCGAAGCTATACGACGCGTGAGCATTGTTGCAGAGAACAATGGACAGCTGGGTACGAACACGACTTGGTCGGGATGGTTGATCTTGTAGAAGCGTAGCAAGAATGCGAGAGCTGTGAGCACGCCCACAGTGATCATGCTGACCTGCTGCGAGTCAAGCAGCGAGTCGAGCTGAGTCTGCTGCATCTACGAAACCACAACACCATCAATATAATCACACATTATAATGCCACGACGAACATACAGGTCCATCCCTATCATCGTCCGAGTCCGCCTCGGTCTCATGTTGGGGATTGGTAATAGGAGCAGAAGGTTTTCTGTGCCGGAGACGGGCACCGCCAGCGACTGCGCGCTCGGCCATGGTCACGGTCGAGGGAAAGGTGTGAGCGGATGCCATCAACCATTTCGGCGGCGACGTGTTCAAACGCGGCACGTGCCTCTGACGCGCTTATTCTTCGGAGACGCGTTCCGACTTCCCGAAGTCCTGGCCTTTCTTGCACCTCTGCGGCCATGTCCGTCAACTTTGACCAGCTCGCCAGTGATGGCAGTTATCTCACGGACCGAGCGAGGGAGGAGAATCAACTTATTCTTGATGAACTCGAGCGGAAGAAAAAGGCACGCGCGTTGGCTGTGCCGACAGACGACAAACTTGTACGCGCGCGTCTGCGAGAGCTAGGGGAGCCCATAACTTTGTTCGGAGAGAGGGTGCGTGACAGTGGTCCACTAGGTCCTATATGTGTAACTCATGTGAACCGAATAGAATGCAGAACGTCGTGAACGTTTGACATATGTCCTGTCCCAAATCAATGCTGCGCGCGGCGAGGACGCGATGCAAGTAGACGAGGAGTCGTCCGAAGATGAGAGCGAAGAAGAGGTGCGTGCATTCCACCCATATATTGCTATATCTTACTTATGAACGTTCCGCATGTAGGGAGAAGAGTTCTACACGCCCGGCACGCTCGAGTTGCTCGAAGCGCGGCGGTCGATAGCCGATTATTCTCTACGAAGGTGGGGAGCCCGCTCCTGCCTGACTATCGTAAGGTGCTTACGATGTCTCCTCCCTTTGTCTTGCAGAGCTTACAAGCGAATAGTCCAACAGCGCAAGGACGCCGCCTTACCTCTCGGACGCGTTATAGACATCCGAAAACGCGTCTTTGCGGACGTTAAGGTCTGTCCTCCATATTGCATTGCCCAATTAGCTCATATTAATATGTTACAGACCTTCTCAAATCTAGGTTCTCAAATTGGTGACACAAGACCGGTGTCTATGGTCCGCTTCGCGCCCGATGGAAAGTCCCTCGCCACAGGTAGCTGGTCCGGCAACCTCAAACTGTGGAACGTCCCCGCCTGCACACCCATTAAAACCATGCGAGGTGCGTCATATGTATCTTACATATATCGTTCCTCGAGCTGAATCCAGCGTAGGTCATAGCGATCGTGTGGGTGGTCTGGCGTGGCATCCTCAAGCCACATTATCACAAAGCGCAGACTCTGCCAACCTTGCAAGTGGCGGAGGGGAAGGCTCTGTGATGTTATGGTCGCTCAACAGGTACATATATTTGCGACTTCCACCCCATTCACATCTGACTTCGATTCAGCGAAACGCCTGTCTCGACGCTCAAAGGCCACGCGGACCGAGTATGCCGCGTTGCCTTCCATCCTTCCGGCGACTACGTAGCTTCGGCGTCCTTCGACACGACATGGCGGCTCTGGGACGTCAAGACGTCACAAGAACTCTTATTACAAGAGGGCCATAGCAAGGAGGTGTATGCTGTTGAGTTCCAGGACGACGGTGCGCTTGTTGCAAGCGCGGGCCTCGACGCCATTGGTCGAATCTGGGACTTGAGGACTGGCCGAACTGCGATGGTACTAGACGGTCATGTCGAGGGTATCTTGAGTCTAGCCTTCGCACCCAATGGGTAAGCCTCTTCTGCATGTATAGTTCACAGCGCAGATTTGATGCTTTAAACCGATATAGGTACCAGATCGCCTCAGGTGCAGCAGACGATACGATCCGCATTTGGGACATGCGCTCTCTCAAAGCAACATACACAATCCCCGCCCACCTGAACAACGTCGCCGACGTCCGCTTCTTCCGCTCAGACGGCTCCATACCCTCCCACATCGCCGCGCAACACCAAGAGTCCGACTCCGCAGACGTGAAGATGGAAGAAGACGTGAACGACGCCGAAGCCGCTCTCGAGACCGCTCAAGCTCAAGAAGCCGGTCGAACAAGCGCCACGCCCGCACCTCAAGCGAAAGAAGGCAGCGAAGGCAGCGCCCCTCCACCGACCAAACTCACACCAGCCCAAGAACGCGAACGCCGCGCAGAAGAATGGCGATACCGGCCCGGACTGTACTTCGCTTCAGCCGGGTACGACGGTGTGGTGAAGATCTGGAGCGCGGACGATTGGCAGTTACTTCATACGTTGCAGACGGATGGGAGTAAGGTTATGAGCGTGGATCTGAGCAGCGATGCGAAGATGCTGGCGAGTGGGACTTATAATCGGAATTTCCAGTTGTTTGCGCCGGACAGCGCTATGGATAGTTTGTGATGTATAAGAGTTCACGATGCTATGCTGACTCTTTACCGCTGTATCGGCAATCTGAGTCGTCCTTCTTCCCAGCTCTCGATTCCCCCACGTAGGCTTCCAGTCGAGGTGGTAAATCCCTCGCAAAGGTTTTCCCTATCATGATTTGAGGAATGCAACAAGATCCTCTACGTTATTTGGCAAAAGAAGCAACAATGCATCAATCTATATACTCGATGCACCACTGCTCTATCTATGGCGAGTACAGCGAGTACAGCAACACTAATAACAGGCAAACCCGATAGAAGAAGCAGAACAATTCAGACCCCAGTCAGGAAACCTGACGCCTTGATGAAACCCGAAGAAGAGAGAAACCCGGAAATGTAAACTTGAGAACCCTTTTTACAAAGCAGAAGATCATGCGCGGGCACGATCCAGCGCTTAGCACTTTCCGATCAAGGTCCACGACCCAGCGGCACCACCGGGCACATCGGCCTCGGTCCACCACTTAGCCTGCCAGAGCTCGCCGTTGTAGGTCACCTCCTGGCCGCCGGTGTACGCGATAGCGCTCGACCAAGCCGCGACGCCGGAGCAGCTCCCACCGGTGGGCGCGGAAGCGGGAGTAGTGGTGGTGGTGGTAGGCGGGGGC